GAAAGCATTTGACCGGGCAGTTTTTACCATCCACCCTGCGTCATATTAGGCTGGGGTCTCATATGTGTTCTTGGATCCTGGCCATTTACTGAAACCCCATCGGCGGCAGTTAACATCAATGAGACCCATTTTGACTATTTCCCTATATCCTATGATACCCGCCAGGGGTGCCCCCTGTCCCCGTTTATTTTCATCCTCACATTGGAGCCTTTTTTGTGTACTGTCAGGGCTGAGGACTCCATCACTGGGTTGTCATTGTCTTCGAGAACGCATAAATTAGCAACCTATGCGGACAATTTAATCTTCTTTTTTTCCCGTCCTTTAACTTCTCTACCGTCGCTTTTGCAGGCATTTGACACTTATGGGGATCTATCCAATTTCTTACTTAACCCTACTAAATCAGAGGCGCTTAACTCCTTCCGGTGTCCTGGATCATCTTAAATATCTGGGTTTACATATTACGGCGGAGCTGAATCTTTGCCCTTTTATTAGTTAAAATCAAGCAGTACTTAACCTTGACGTGGTTTGGACGATGTGCATCTCTTAAGATGACAGTCCTTTCCAAAATTCTGTATCTGCTGCAAGCCCTGCCAATTAACATACCTTCTAAATTTTTCTCTTAATTGAGACGGCTGTTTGTTTATTTTGTGTGGGCCCGTAAACACCGCTGGATATCCTATCACCTCTTGATCCTTCATAAAAACATGGGAGACCTGGGCTTACCCGATATTCGGCTGTATTATAGGGAGTTTCAACTTAACAGATTGATTGATTGGTGTTGCCATTCTAAACATAAGCAGTAGGTGGATATTGAGCTATCAGAGTCCCAGGACCTACTAACGGGCCTCCCATGACTCTCCTCCCTTATTGCCCCTGGAGATCTCCATCTATGCACAGACTTTCTTTTCGGACTGAGGAAAAGAAAATCCGAGGACCCGGATTTCCCTCCAGGGTTAGATAATAGTCACGTCCATCGTCTTCTGATCGCATGCATGGACTTTATTTCGGACAATTTGTGGATGTCTCAGGATTTGATTTGGAATTTACTCACTCTGCAACTGAATAGGTGGCGTGCGTTCCAGCTTCGACACTTTCTTGTCTCTGTGCCCGGGGTGCAGGAGCTGTCTCGGGAGGCTCACGACGCTTGAATCTGTCTGCTATTAGGCAATACCGATCCGCCTTTCTCTTTCTATGATTTACAAGCATCTTTGCTCACAGCCTTCGAGCTTCTGCCCTGCGTTTCTCAGGAAATGGGAATCTGAGTTGGGTAGATCTTTTATGGATCAGCAGAGGAGCACCGTCCCTTGCCCATAAATCCTCCATGGCATTGGTGAGTAAATACCAAGAGCATGGATATAAGATACTGAACCGCTGGTACAGAGTCCCTTCTGGTTTACATAAAATCGACAGCTTGGATCCCTCCTACCTGTTGGAGATGTAATTTAACCCCTGGTACCATGCCCCACATTTTTTGGCATTCCCCAATTTTCGGCCCTTTCTGGGATTCTGTGAGGTCGGTGATGAACCGGTTGGTAATCACGGCCTTGCCGAATGACCCTGCAGTTTTCCTTTTGCTTTGACCTCCTCTCCAATGAAACGGTCCAAAAAAAAAATTACTGACCATTCACATGCTTAAGATCCTGCATTCTGTTGCTGTGGAGACAGTCTAGAAGGTCCTGGAGCAAAAGACAGAAAGTACCTATCGCAGGACCAGGAGCCTACGGCTGTTAGGAGGCCTCCTAGTCAGCCAGGTGAGCCAGCCAATTTACACCTTTCACATCTCATGCTAATTTTAACTGATCAATTTAGCACTGTTAGGGGGGGGTCGTTGCCACTTACACAGGCTGCAGCGTTACCAGGTCCTAGGCAGGGAGCGCCAGCGCTAGGTATAGGACGTGACCAGGTGGGGCTGCAGCAATTTTTTAATGGCCTTTATGGGTTGCTACAAGGTGTTCCTGCCTCTCCCTCAGTTACGCCGGTCGAGGCATGGTTGCCGCGGGCGACGGTTGCGGAGAGAATTTCACCTGCGCCCTTTGTCCCCCTGTCCCCCTAGAGTCGGCGAGGGATCCCGACGGGGAAACTGCAGGTAAGTCCGCTGAAAAAGTGCCAGATGCTGTTCGCCTGGCTGATTCCGCCCGGTGCGAAGTTTATGTGTGCTTCGAGGGCCCCTTGGCTTCCCATTTGAAAACAGAACTTAGGGAAAAAATATGGAAGGGGGAATATGTCGACATATACTCCTTACTGCCGCTAAAAAAAATAATTTGGACAGGGTAAAGCTGGACGAGAGTAAGAAAGAGGACGAGGAAAGACGTCGTTATCGTCTTATTCCTCGCACTTTTTCTAACTGGTTGCAGGCTTTTGCCATTTTGGCTAGCGTCATTGGGGAAAAGGAACCAGAACATTGCTCTGCCCTGTTTTGCTACCTTGACACTATAGGTGAAGCGCATAGAGTGTATGGGGGAACAGCTTGGCTTCGTTATGACGAACAATTTCGTCAGCGCAAAGCTATTAGACCGTCTATACGTTGGGATCATAAGGACATTAGCCTCTGGATGAAGCTAATGACCTCAGCTCGAGTGCCCGCCACCTTTTTTCACGGGGCGGCCGGTGGTCCTGCCAACACAGGACAACCGGCCGCCAGGCGTAAGGGTTTCTGCTGGCAATACAACGAGGGAACCTGCAGGTTTGGAAGCGGTTGTCGTTTCAAACATGAGTGTTCCGGATGCGGGGGTAGTCACTCCCTCTCTAGGTGTTTTAAGCAAGGTAAGGGGCGTGCCGGCGAGGCTTCGGGTAAGAGGGACGACTCCGGTGAGGGTGGAAAGGATGCGTTCCTTTCTAAATAGATATCCTGACCGGGTGGTGGCTTCACTTTTGGAGTCAGGTTTTACAGACGGTTTTCAAATTCCCAGTTCTATGACAGTGATACCTCCATTCTCAAAAAATTTGCCGTCTGCTCTTCAGTATCCCACCGTTGTTTCCCAGAAGTTGGCGAAGGAGGTCAGTTTAGGGCGCATGGAGGGCCCCTTTCCTTCCGCCCTATTGACTGATTTGGTCGCCTCTCCTCTCGGGGTGGTGCCGAAGAAGGAACCTCACAAATTTCGCTTGATCCATCATTTGTCCCATCCAAAAGGAGGGTTGGTGAATGATGCGATCGACCCCGCGGTTTGTGCAGTATCTTATACCTCATTTGATGCAGCGGTTGCATGGGTCCGTAGGTATGGGAAAGGTTCCCTTCTTGCGAAATCTGACATCGAGTCGGCGTTCAGGCTGCTGCCTGTCCATCCTGATAATTTCTCTCTGCTGGGTTGCCATTGGCAGGGATCCTATTTTGTGGACAAGTGTTTGCCTATAGGCTGCTCAATCTCCTGTGCTTTATTCGAAGCTTTCAGTTCGTTTTTGGAATGGGTGGTTAGGGAGGTTTCGTGGATCAATTCGGTTATTCACTACTTAGACGATATGAGCTCTACGGTAGGAGACCAAAGGTGTCTTCACAGACCTCAGCTTCACAGTGATAGGAAGACATTGTATTTAAACTGTTATGGTTGAATGTTTTATATTCAATTTGTTATAAAGTTAATATATTTAAATAAACGGCTACTACAGCCATTTTATATCCAACTTGGTGTGGTCTATTATTGGGTACGGGTATTTAGAATGGGATAGGGCTGTAGCAAGCTATGTTAAGAATATGCTTATGTCTTACCCTGTCAAGACCGCCTACAGTGGGAATGTGGTTCTCCGTGCAAGACAATATCTACCGTATGGAAGACTTGACCGCCACCTTTCATTTCATTTTAAAATGTTACCAGATTACAAGCAGGATTTGGGGCCCGCTGCCTCTTTGGACTCTGGATGATTGGGCTGCCTTGGAGATTGCATCTTTACAATCCTTTTTTCTTCCCTTCTTCTGTCTCTTCCTTGCTCTTCGTTTTGTTATTTTGTTTAATTGTTGTCCTGAAGATACCACAGATTTGTGGGGCCTCACTCTCTTCTCTAATAGGTTTGCCATGTTCTGAGGCCAAAGGTTTGTTATGTCTATAGAATGAGAAGAGTTTACATTTCCCACTAATTTCGCTTGTTATTGGTACATTTTAGTTGGATCCATACATATTGGCACCCATGCATTTCTGTCAGATAGTGCACCACTTCTCGCAGAACATTGTTGAAATTACAAATGTTTAGGCATTCTCATTTTTATTTATTTTGTTTGTATTGGTATGGCACAAAAAAGTGGAGAAAAAAAAAGCCAAATCTGACACATTCCACGCAAAACTCCAAAAATGAACTGGACAAAATAATTGGCACCCTCAATTAATATATTTGGTAGCACAGCCCTTGGGAAAAAAAACAAAACTCAGCCAATCCCATGCTAATCCCCGCTTTATCCAGCCATTTAAACGCCTCCATCATTGTATTATATATGGGAAAGTCAGTGGCAAAGGACTGAGGGTCATAAGGGAGACAGGGGATGCAAACATTAATTAAGAATTTCCTAGGGGTGTGAGGCATAGAAAATGTTGGGAACCACTGCTCTAAAGGGTGGCAACACTGTAAAGAATTAGAAATGCAGAATACAGCCTTGTCAGCCTTACAAAGGATGTACAGTCCTCAGTGTTTTACAGTCAGGATTAACAGGTAGGTTTAGCAGTAGTAGCTGCCTAAAATTGCAGTACATTCTATATTATGTTGCTTGATTTTAGATTTTGACACTTTATGTGCGATCTGTGCAATGCTTTTACAGTTGTGGAACTGCAAATCCCATGAGGCATTGCTACACTTCTCTCACTTCTCTCACAGCCACATTGCACTTGTTATTAGACCTTCATTATGAAGTTTTACTGAGGCTGTAAACAAAGAATTAAGAAATGTTGGCAGCATGACAACTGAGGATATGTGAAGCAGGTCATGTAGAATAGTCATCTGAATGCTGCATATGTGACAAGACCCTACACGTCTGTACGTTTGCTCACTCCTATCCTTCTCTTAAAGTAATACAGTAACACACATGTCTTTCTCTGTACAACCTCACTCCAGCCCAGGGTAAACTCTTAGTCTGGAGGCTGGCGACTAACCATGAGAACCAGCCAGATTGTTAAGTATTCACTGTTTGTGTCCTGCTATATTTTTTGGGTGAGTACACAACTTTATTTCTAATAGCATACAATACTAGTTGTTTAGTTCTGGGGCAAGGGATAACATCATTTCCATTAATGAAAAGGAAATGGGATTAGTAAGGGTGCCCACAGATATTAGACAGCAACGGGACATACAGGCACGCTCTCACTGTTGAAAGATTTTTATTTATTTTTTCAGATTCCTGCACAAACAGGCTTACATAAATGTCCTCAGTTTTCCAGCTTCTACCTATGAGTGTGGGAGGGCAGAGTATAGTCAGAGATATCACTAGTGTTCGGCTGAAACGAGCCAACACCATCTGCCTGTGGCTGTGAGAAATCTAGCAATGCCTCATGTGATTTGTAGTTCCACAACAGCTGGAGAGCCAGAGTTTGCTCACCCCTGTCCAAGGGTGACTAGCAAAATGGCTGGATCAGTCAATCATCATTTCACTATGGCTACCTTTCCAGTACATGACACAAAAATACTTCCTAACTCCACATAACTGGATCCTTAACTACATTTACTCATGTTTACAAGTATCTGCATAATACTTTGCAGCATTTCTGAAAGAAGGCTTAGGTTTACATGCCTATGAAGATCATAACAATAGATAAAAAAATAAAAGAAAATCATATACCGTAATATGCTATTAATTATAAGTACTGTTTATTAAATATTCCATCAGTAACATTAATGATATCATAAAACATGAGCTATATAGTTGTAGCAGCATCTTTTAAGTGTGGTGCCCGGCCTCATGCTGTGGCTCCATCCTCCGACCCCTATGTCTCTGCTGTGTACTGTAGTGACATATAGGCTGGAGCAAGGAACTACAGCGTGCGTCCTGGGGCCACAGGTATCCCAAAATTCCATAGGTGTCAAACGTATCAGGTGTTTGAACAGTAGGGATGAGGTTTGCGTTTGGAGCCACCTTGAGTTTAATCTCACGGGTTCGGGGTTCAGCGAAACGATTCTATACTATTACTACTATAATATACTGCATAACCTTTGTCCCTGGTCAGATGGGTCCCTGAGAGATAATAATCTGAAAAAGTAGCCAAGCCAGCCCCCCTTATTATATTATAAAAGGGTGGGCTCCCAGTAGCCATGTTGTCAGTGTGAGTGTTTTGGAACTGGGACAAGGTCCTTCAGCACCCAAGGCAAAAAGGTCACAGTGCCCCTCCCCATGAACTGTGAACTACCTCAGCAGCATAGGTTTCAGGCCCTGCTCTTTTTGCACACCCTCCTGCTGAAGGCAAGTGCCTCTTCCGCCTAGTCTCAGCTCGGCCTCAGTGCCTTCTGTCCTTCTTAGAACTCTTTTTTCCTGTATCCACAGCTCCACAGCAAGTGTACTTGATTACTAGTCTCTGTGCCACCCCTTTGGAAGACCCTTTATTTTATAGTTTTTTTTAAATGGTTTAGTTTTTTTATTTAATTTAAGGTTTTTTTCTGCTACGGTTCAATAAAAAAAAAATAGTGTTTATATATAAATATTTCATTTGGTAGTGGGGATATTCTATCCTAAATTTAATATCAAATTTAAGATTGACAGTCTGAAAAAATTAGTAAATAGCTGGTGACCCTTCAGAGCTTTCCCCTTCATGTTTCATTCTGACTATGTTAGGTATAGAAGCAGCTCCATCTTAGTGTGGACAGTGGGGATCTTTCCTTTAATTTTAAGAGATATAGGATGCCATGCTGATAATTAATGTGCCTGTACTGCTGCGGTCAGTTTCTGCTGAATTGACCCTCCATCCCCTTCCCAGCCCTTCGCAGTTAGCATGTCACAGTCAACATTTCACAGCCAGCATCCTGCTGTAGGTGGGGAGGGTTAATTATCCCTGTATCCCCACCCTGCCGCTTGCCCTCAGAGTTGGGGGTAGAAGAAGTAACTTGCAGTCATGTGACTGTATAATAAAAGCTTTTACAAATATATTATGGTAACCAAATAAAATGCAATGTTTTACTGTGCGCATATGCTGCAGTTTGCGTGGACATACACTTTAAGTTTGAAATGTTCAAAATCACACTTGTTGCTAAACAGTTGTTGCAGCTTCCCTTTGTACGTAGCACACCACCTCATTGCTGTGTGGTAAACAGTATGCATCAAATGCACCACACAATTATCCCCCTATCACCATAGTTTTAGTAAAAGCTAGGCATTCCATTCACCTCCTATAAAAATACTGTAATCAGTGGCAAGCCTAAAATTAGATGCAGAGGTGTAGAGCATGGTGGTAGTGGGGGGTCCTGCAGGAGATAAACTACAGGTAGGGCACATGTACCATTTTCTTCCCAAAGTGGACAATCAGTAAAGTCACAGCATACCCAATGAAAGTCTGACTGGCTGACAAAACATTCCATACCTTCATCATCCCAGGCTCAGAGCAGGCAGATGTCTGCCAGTGTTACTAATGTGCCCTCTTCCCCTCCTTTTAAACCTGCCACAGACCCACAAACTGAAGAGTCTGTGGAATTATTTGACCATACCATAGCAGAATTGCAGCAGGCCATACTCTCTTCTGACATATAGAAACAGATAGTGGGGTGACCATAGAGGAAGAGGGTGGCCCAGGAAGCAACAACAGATCAAGATTTTAACTAACATGTGTTGCAATACATTGTCGGCATACTGCAACACTGTTGTGTTACATTAGTGCGTTGGAGTGACATTCAAAATTATTCCCCACCGCAGCACTTGTAGTGCATGTGCATTGTCACATGATGCGGTAATATGTGTGTTAGTGCAATGTGAAAGTGTAAATGGGCTGTCCTACCTTAACATAGTAAGGTTAATTAACTAAGAGTGCCATTAACTATTTTGTGTCACTTTTTCAGGTGGCTAGTGGTCTTATGATTGCTGTTGGACTTTATGCTAAACTATGTAAAGAGACAGGTATGTTGTTCAGCTCCATGTAGACATGTGTGATACAGTATATTTATTACAGGTCATGAATGTATGTATTTATCAAAGCATCTTTCCACTATATCATGCTAGATTTATCTAGATTTTAGATGCTATATTTAAGAAACTTCTTAACTGATTGAAACACTACCTGCAAATTGAGAGTTACTTTCCGTAGGGGTTTTCTTTTCTGCTAATGCTGGGCAGGCAGCTTTAGCCCAAGCCTGAGAGATTTTAAAAACAGATTTAAAAAAGAATCCAAATCTACTATTTACTGGTCTGTAAACTCTCAATGACCAGTGATATATCAATGGCAGTGCCTGCATAGCTTTGGAGCCCGCATAGACAACCATGAAGAAGTGGAGGTGAAACCATAAAATCTATTCCCCTGCACCTCCTAATGCCTATAGTGTCCCCAGTAAAGCAGCTGTTTTGCCAGTGCTGAGACAGCTGCTTAGTTTTAAGCCCAGCCCAAGAAATGCATTGCTTTTTAATTATGACCGGTCTGGTCTTGATCCATATGATCAAGTCTGATATGGTCTGGCCTTGATTGGGTTGGGGCAAGGGAAGAACAAAGTCCCTGCTTTCTATCTGATATAAACAATTGGGCCCATTTAAATCCCAGTGATGTGGAAATATTCATTGTCAATGGCACCCCAACGTATGGCAGTGCATTGCATTACAAAAATCTGATTTCTGGGATGTTAGGGTGTGTTGGCAGCCCAATTTTTTCAGAGCCCATTTATATTTTTGTGGTGCGTTAATGTACGTTCATGAATGCACGTTATTCTGTACATTAAGGTACATTTAATTGAGAAAGCCCATTAAAGTCTATGGCCTGCCAATGCACCAAAATAACCCTAAAACCAGATATGATCTAAATTTTGAAACTCAATGGACTACAACACATGTCATGTGTTGCAATGCATTGTCGGCATGCTGCAACACAGGTGTGTTACATTAGTGCGTTGGAGTGACATTCAAAATTATTCCCCACCGCAGCACTTGTAGTGCATGTGCATTGTCACATGATGCGGTAATATGTGTGTTAGTGCAATGTGAAAGTGTAAATGGGCTGTGCTACCTTAACATAGTAAGGTTTACATGTGGCTTAATGCACGTTAACAGATGTGTGTTAACGCACCACAAAAATTTAAATGGGCGCGAATCATGTAAGGATCAGCAACAGGAGGGCAGTCAGTACTACAGCAAGTAGGATGAGTAAGTAGGAGTAAACCAAATACTAGATATAGGTCAATAACAGGAAGACAGACGGCATGTTTGGGTGTGGACAGAACATATTTCCTTATAGTAAATACAGTAGAGACCACCTGTAATAACATAACAATTCCAGTAAGTGGCAGCACATTTCAGTGTCTGTGTGACAATTGCCTGTGCTTGCTCCCTGGCATCTATCCAGGCAGCATCCATCCATCCACTGAGGTCCTAAAAGACCCAGGCCACCCTGGGGCACCTATGTTGAAATGTGGGGTCTTAAACAGAAACCACTAATTCATTAAAAATGTTAAATGCTCTAATTCACTAAACTGTAATGGAATGGGAAAATTGAGTAAATAGTGGAGATTAGAATGATTGCACCAGATACAAAAACAATCTGAAAACCACAAGTTCAGCAATGATCAAAGTATATTTGTCAACAGGAGCATTCTTGGGATGGTGGCAACTATTACGGCAAAGGAGATTCAGGGTGCTCAGTAAAAGAGCTAGGTGCCCTGGTGTAGAAAAGCCCCTGCATCCAAATATTAGTGTAAATGAGGCTCCAGTATGCTCTGAGAACGAGCTACCTGATTTTGGAACTTTTTTTTCTTCTAGTTTGGCAATTCTGGTAAAGTCCAACTGATGGGTTGCCAACCCTTTTATTTCTTCTAGTTTGGCAATCCTGGCAAAGTCCGATTGATGGGTTGCCAACCCTTTTTTTTCTTCTAGTTTGGCAATCCTGGAAAAGTCCAATTGATGGGTTGCCAACCCTACCTTTAGAACATCTCATTTTGCTACAAATAACACTGGTGTGTCAAATTGTTTGCTGTATCTTCATTTAGTTAACAACATTTGTTTGAAAGCAACATAGCATAAAATAGAATCATCCACTCATGTGGCCTGTAGTTGTTATAACCCAAGGCACTTTGAGAGACATATATGAAGAAAATTAGCGACTAAAAGATGCACATCAGGCTGACAGTTAGTTAGCAAACTCAATTTTTCTGTGTATTTGCAACCACTGCAAAACAATGCTGTAAACAGTGTAAAAATTCAGAGTTGCTTTTGTATCGTTTGACAGGTGTTGTGGACACCCTAGCAACAGATCCAGCCATAATATTAATTGTGGTGGGAATGCTGATGTTTGCCATTACCTTTCTCGGCTGTATGGGAGCACTGAGGGATTTGCATATATTGCTAAAAATTGTAAGTAGGTGACAGAGATAAACATGTTAACAGTGTCATGAGATTTTGTAAAATTTATTACGATTTAATGGGCACATTTAGATCTTTTGTCTATTGACAAGTCACAATGTATACCTTTTCCACTTTTAAATGTACAGAAGAAAATTCCACTATCCAGTCTTGGCTTTTTGTGGAATTAAAATAAGACTTTATGGGTTTAAAGTCTAAAAGGGTTTAAATATAATAAGTTATATTTTCATAGAGTACATATTTGAGTTTTGGTGATAACGTTTACTTACTGTAAAGTGACACTAAACTCAGGAGTTAAATCTTAAAAATACATTCAAGTACCTTAAGAATTAACAAAAATATATCTTATTTGTGCATCACTCGGCTGTAGATCCTCAAATTATCTCTGAATTGTTGCCGACACTGTCCTTCCTTCTGGAGGGTGGCTACTTTTGTTACCCATGGTCTCTGTGTGTGTTGTAAAGTAGTCACCGCTCCAAGCTCACTCCTGTGATAGGTTATTACTTCAATGCAAATTAGCTATCATAAAAATGAGCTTGGAGCGGTGGCTACATTACAACACTCGTAGGGACCATGGGGAATAAAGTAGTCACCCTCCAGAAGGAAGGACAGTGTCAGCACCAATTCAGAAATGATTTGAGGATCTACAGCTAGTTAAAAGTACTTGAATGCATTAGTAAGATTTATACAAGATAAAGTAATAAACTGCATAGACGTCCCAATATTTCCATTAGATCTCACATATATACTCTTTCTCAATATCAAAAAAAACAACTTTCTCTTGATATTCCCTTTTAGAAAATAGTCGGTGCTTTTAAATCCTCTCCATTTTGATTTGATGCCTGAATGTGTTATTTAGATGCACCAATTCTGCAGGACGTAGCAGAAGTCTAACTATTTAATTATATGTAGTGTTGCAATATGTGATGGTTACACTTGAGTTTATATGGATTTAGGTCTTTATATATTTATTTTTAATAAATTATATATTTTTTGTATTTTGTCTTAGAGCTGTTTTTTTCTGAGGGATCTCCTATAAATAGAGGGCTTATTTTTTATGTTAAAAACCCTTCTTGTATCCCTAGTTGTAAATTACAAATGATAACTAAATTAGAAAATAAAGTAAGTAGGTCAGATATTATGTTTCACTTTGTGTTTCTTTTTTTCAGTTTGCTGCAATGCTTCTCCTGGTCTTAATCCTTCAATTTGTTGCAGCTGTTCTTTGCTTTTTATTCTCAGGAATGGTAAGTACTGTACTTCTGTCTAAATTGTGACAAGAAAACTCCTACTACCCAAGAATTTAATCAAATGACCCAAACCTGAATCTAAAAGATTCAGCCTTTGCAAGGATCAGGCTTCAGTAATAAACACGTTCACTAAGTGCTATGTGACAGATTAATTTGATGCTAACTTTTTAAAATATTACTGCTAAAGATTTATGCAGTCTATTCCTATGCAACGATATGTAACAAATGTCACATAGACTGCTTTTCTAAAGTTAATACGTTGCATTTAAGGGGTGCTTAGCAGTTTCTGTTGTTTCAGGTTTTAGAAAAAGCTTCCAATGTAATGTCCAAGGCAATCATCCGTTATCGGGAAGATGCAGATTTGGAAAACTTTATTGACTATATCCAGAAAAGGGTGAGATTATGCTTTAAGGACAGTAACAATGTATATTACCTTTTGATACTACCAGAACTATGGCTTTAATGTGACATGTCAATTATCTAAAATGAGAAATGCTAGATAGTTGTGCAGTGTAATTCTGTTAGAGAAAATCAGTATTTGAAAACAAAAACCTCTGTATGAGATATATATTGTAAGAAAGTCACTGGTCTGTAGTCAGGAATTGGCAGTAATTGCAGCTTTTTTGCGATCACACATACTGTAAAAGTCTCTTTCCATCAATAGGGTACACTGTCCCTTTTAAACAAAAATAGCTTCCATAGCTTCCAGCAGTAACTCAAAAGTAACACAAATAAAATGGCCTACTCTAACTTAGGAGGCTAAGTGACAGTAGTTTCCCTCACTACTTCCTACTAAAGCAGCTATTCCAGCTTCCTGTACAAAACAAGATGCATAAAGAATCACAGTCTGTGACATACAGTTTTCATCCAGACCTTATCCCACAGGTATTTAGACGCTCTCCAGTCTGCATCCATCCAGTGCAGCCTGAGACTCTCTCCCCCTCTAAGCTCTCAGGCCTCATTCACACCAGACATAGTGCGTTCTAGTCCGATTCTGGCCAGAACGCTCTGCATCGCATTGCGGTCGGCTCAGGATGTTGTGGGGCAGGAGGGGGCATGATGGTCCATTGAACTGAATGGCACAGTAGCCACGCCCTCCGGCCGCAATGTGATCGGCCGCACGGGATTGCAAGGCGCATTATCCCTGCAGGTCCAGTCCGGTCCGAACAAAATGCAAGCACTTTTTTGCTCGGACCGCAGGTGAGGCCTCACTGCTTCTATAACAGGGGCAGGCCAATTAACAGAGAGGAGGTGTACCTGATTGGGAACTGCTTAACCCCATTTAGGGAACATTGCCCTTTTCAACCTCATGTACACTGTGTCATATACCCTGTCACTACTACATTGGGCCACGAGATGACTCCACGAGATGACTTCGTTGGGCCGCCTCATGACTCCACGAGATGTTAAAAGGTGATGCGAGGAATCTGACACTGCACTGTTGCCCTTCTGTTGTCTTGTACCAGTCTTGCCACTCTCCGTTCTGCCCTAACATTGACTAGTCGCTGACGGACACAATTCGCACATTCAGGCCCAGATTTTCGGCTGACAGTCCAGTCTTTCAACACTTTAATAACAGCTGCTCTTGAACATTTAACAAAATCTGCAGTTTTGCTGATACTCGCTCCATGGCTCCGAGCGCCAACAATCATCCCACATTCAAAGGCTGTTAAATCGCGTTGTTTACCCATATCTTCAGAAAAAAATCACTTCTACTGTCGTGGTAAACAACCTGCTTCCCTATTTATAATGGTCTGGCCCTCTGGCAACTTCAGCGCGAAATTATAGCTAATTATAGCTAATTTCCCTACAAACGTCAGGTGGTCATAATAATCTGGCCACTCAGTGTATATATACTGTATATATACTTAATTGAGTTTGTCAAAATTAGATGTCCGTCTATGGTTTCCAGTTTAAAAACCTCTTCAAGTGGACCTTTACCCCCTTTCACTGAAAATCACATCAGCATGCAGCTCAGCATGCTGATTTAAAATCATCTTACATTCATTAGTTAAACAAACATGTTTTTCATTTACTTACAAATAGAGTTCATTCACTTCCTGGTTCACGTCTGGCACAAATGATGTAATGTGCCAAAGGTTACATCAGCAGAGCATTGCTGGGAAATCTTATCTGTAATCTTAGGGGAAGGCATTTTCCTGCCCGTTGTTGATGTGCATGGTCACATGTCCTAGTCACATGTGTCAGAGTTTCAGGAAGTGAAAAGGGAGAGCTAGTAATCTGCGCTTAGTAAACATGGCCACTGTCAGAAGACTGGGGAGAAAAAGAGAAATAAGGTATGCAAAGAATACATAGCTGGCAATTATTTAGAAGTATGTGTTTGTAAATTGTCATAACTAAACCTTTCTAAAGTCGCGTTTATTGTTATTGCAAAGATATGGATATAGTTCCTTATTAAGGGTTTATTTAACTCTGTGGAACATATTAATATTTGCCCACTTTCACAATGACTTCTCTTTTAGATTTATGCTTTTGGGACTTCCCGAACTAATTGGGATAGTGACCATGGGTAGTTGAGCTTGGTTTGAGATCAGTCTGTGTACATAATGTTCCAAAAGATCCAATACAGAATTCAAACATTAGATTCCACATCTTTTGAAAATACATTCCAGGTGTATACAGGTTTCTTAACAACTTATTAAAGGATTGCTAAAGGCTGGGCGTTTTTTACCTTAATACATTCTCTGTATCCCTGTTCCCTGTCCCCCCCACACTTACCTGTCAGCGTCGTTTGTCACCGCCACCGATCCCTGGAGTGATCATCTGTCCGAAGTTCCAGGTTGTGGGGTAGGAGATTGAAGGCAGATCTGTCATAGTCTCCTTCTGCCGTCAATCAACCTGTTGGGGCGGAGAGGAGGGGTGCCACAGTGCTGTCTGTGGCTATGGACGCTTCAAATCTCCTTCCTGTCCAGGCCATTTTTCAGTATTCAGCTCTGCAGTATTTTGACTGACATTTATTCAGTCATGCAACCCTGTACTGAAATGAATTTGATATCATTTTTTGGGGACACACATAGACACAAATGTTTAAACAAAAACTGTTTTCCCTAAGTTATGTAACATTTATTATTACCCAATTTTTTGGTAAAATATAAAAGATGGGGCCACGCCGGATAAATAGGTACCAAACATGTCATGCCTTAAAATTGTGTGCACCTGCAAAATCACAAGTGGGTAACTAGTATCGGTATTGGCGCATCCCTAGTTGTATTAAACAATATGTTACAGCATATATAGTATTATTTACATCACAGTTTTGCAAATCTTTTGTATATTTCGCAGGAATACATCATATAGACATAATCATTATCTAAGCTGTTTTCTTGTTTTTATTAAAGTTTGAATGCTGTGGGGTGAATAGCTACACAGACTGGTCTTTGAACATATACTTCTACTGTGTAGACACCAACCCAAGTCTGGAAAAATGTGGGGTGCCATACTCTTGCTGCATCAGGGAAGAAGGGCAGGTAATTGAAGAAAGGAAACTTTACTAACATGATTATACTCCTATGTATATCAATGCTAAGTTCATTGGAAGCATTACTAACATAAATGATACTCTTATGTATATTAGTGCATTTTACATATATGATTTTACAGCCAATCTAAAAAAAAATTGCTGGCTGTTCCCATACACCACATGGACTACCTATCTCACACCTGAAATCAGAAGGGCAGGAGAAAATATAGCCTCTAACTTCAATACAAATGATCTAACTAAACATGATATTGCAGTCCATCATGGGAGCGAGCTTGGAGCGGTGGCTACTTTACAACACACACAGGGACCATGGGGAACAAAAGCAGCCACCCTCCAGAAAGAAGGACAGTGCCATAATGAATTCAAAGATGATTTGAGGTTTTTCCTTTCCCTTACCTTCGCTCTCTGTACTAGACAGGTGTACTGGGGGTTTTCCCACCAATTCTGTTCTTACCTAAAACAGGCCCTATTTTTGCCACCTTCCGCAGCCATTTTGGATATGCCCTCTCCCGGTTCCTCATCTTCCTCCACTTCGGATCGTTGAAAATTCCTTTCCATTAATGCCAAGGGTCTCGATATACCTGAAAAAATTATCTAGGCTGCTGTGGAAGCAAAAGAGCACATGTCGTCTTCATACAGGAAACCCACTTTAAATCAGGTGCTGCCCTGAAATTTTCTAACCACCGCTATCCCATTATGTATCATGCGTTCATGTCCTTGCATAAATCTAAAGGGTTCTCTATCCCCCTTTTCAGACACGCCTTGACTTGACTGCTCAATTAGCAAACCTTGATGGCCGTTTCCTTAAGGGCTGTCACATTGGACAACATTTACTGCCCTAACACTGGCCAGGTCCAGTTCTTCCGTCACATTCGCCTAAAACTGCAGGACTTCAACATGAGCTTCTTGTTTTAGGAGGATATTTTATTGTGCCCCTAAATCCCCCCTTGGATTCCTCTAATGGCCATTCCTCCTTGCCTTTTTGCACTCTTCGTCATATTAAAACGGAACTCTCTCTTTTGAACCTCCACGACATTTGGAGGTTCCTTTATCCCACAACAAATGACTTTACCTTTTCTCACCACGCGCTTCATGCACTTCAAGGCTTTATGCACTTCCTCCTCACCTGTGTGACATCCTGTTTCTCTTTTATACCTTGAACTGCCTCATGCGTCCAGCCCCAAAGAAGATTCCACAGCCCTTGGGAACATGATCTGTGTTTTTCCTTCCCTGAAGATGTTTGGAAGCCTATAAAATCTTTGCTTGCTAAAGGGCTCTGAAAATACTAACATTCAGGAAACAAACTATAAGCTGCACTCCAGATGGAACCGTACTCCAGAATTCCTGCACAAAATCTCACCCGATATCCCTGACACATGTTGAAGGTGCCATCAGGGCATCGGCACTTTTCTCCACCTCTGGTGGAGCTGTCCCCTACTCTCACCTTTCTGGGCGCAGGTCTGCAACCTTATTGAGAAAATTACAGGAGATTCTATCCCGCTCATCCCTGCTTATTGCCTTCTTCATCGCACAGAAAGGTTTTTCCAAATTTACCGATGGTCTCTGGCTTTTCACTTACTGAACGCAGCCAAATCAGTCGTTCCCCAATTCTGGTGCTTCTCTGCTCTGCCTCAAATTCCTGATTCGTTTCAACGTATAGATTTTGTTGCCGAGATGCAAGAGCTGATACATGTTCATCAGAACACGATGTTGAAATACTCCCATACTTGGACTTCCTGGGTCTTATTTAAAGATACACAAGCTTACAAGACGATCATGATGCCTGGAGTCACTGGCTCCCCCTCTTAAGGTTTACCCGAGAAGATGTTTTATCTTTCTTCTACGTGTAGTTTAGAAGAAACCTGTGCACCCCAATGGATTCTGCAGAGAAGGGTATCCCGAAATTGATACTGGCACCTTCACATTTAGGCATGCCACTCTGCTTCCCCCAATCCACCTTCTCGTCCCTAGTGTTTTGTTGGTTTCTTTTCCTTCTCCTTTTTCTTAGTTTTCCTTTCCCCCACCATTTCCTTCTTTACCATTTTACTCTCGTTTTTTCTTCCCCCCTTAATACACCGCACCCCTCCCCCTCTTCCCCTATCTCTCGCCTTCCCATTATAACGTATTGGCAATGATTTTTGGATCTCAGCTACGGATCATTGAAATCAACAGGTAATAAAGTGTATAAGCCTTTTCCACCAGCAGGGGAATAGGTATTTGCAATCAACTGAATTAGTGAGCCACCTGCGTTGCAGAGAATTAAGGTCCTCAGTGGTTATATAGGTTTATTGAGAAGTTACGGCAATTCAACTGGGTAACCATAAATAATAGTCAAAAATATGGTAAGTAATACTTGCTGTTTAAGCGACTCAATACAGGAAGTCTATGGAAAGCCTTCTGGGAACAGCCAAGCTTGGAGTAGCTTCCTGGATGAGGTGAAGTAGGTGTGCAACAAAGGGTTAACAGCCAGGCATGGAGCAGCTTCCTGGATGCTGTGAAGTAGGTGTGCAGCAAAGGGTTAACAGCCAGGCATGAAGCAGCTTCCTGGATGATGTGAGATTGGTGTGCAGCAAATGGTTAACAGCCAGGCATGTAGCCATCTCTTGAAGTTGAATAGAGGCTTCTAGAGTGATTGGATGATACACCAAGTGGAAGGCAAGGCAGGCTGCATGGTAGTGGAAGAAGCAGTCTAGTATAGCAGTTATAACTGCTGTTTGGGGGTTCGAGCAATTGAATCTCGCGGCTTAAGCCGCCTAGGAAGGAGGAGTCTCGTGACATCATCGCGGGGAGACGGAGCTCCGTGCCGAATCCGAGACGTCGGACAGGTGAGTATGTTACACCCATTTCCCCCCCTGCTGCCCTGCTTTCCCTCTACACCTATACCGCCTGTTCCACACTGCGGCACTTCCCTTCCTCCCCTTGCTAAGCTGGTCCCTTCCCATGCCTAGTTCCCAACTAGATTTCATATTGAGTTACATTCTTGAACACCCTGTTTGGTTAGATTTCCTTGATGATTACCTCTATACTGTTATTTCTTGTTTATCCTACCTGTTTGCTACCTATAATGTTTGTAACTGTTTTGCATGTATAAAACGTTAACTCGAAAACACAAATAAATAGATACTTAGATACTAATCTATTTTTAAGAGTTAACTCCTGAGTTTAGTGTCACTTTAAGAACAATTCACTCTGGAGTCAGTTATGAGAGCAATATTCCAGAAAACAACTAGGAGAAAATAAAGATATGTATAACTATGCACACATTCATTTCGTAATCTTATTGGTTTATTTTCACAGACTGTCATAAATACAATGTGTGGATATGGGACACAGAATCTCAAGAGATGGCATGTGGAACATCAAATCTTTGTGGATGGGTGTCTAAATAAGATTGTGAGCTGGGGTAGAGGAAACCTGCTGTTCTTGGGAGGTATTGCAATGGGACTCATCGTTCTGGAGGTATTTATCTGATTGAATTTTACTGTGCCAAGAGCCATGGAAGGCTCAATTAACTGATAAATTATTCTGGTTTCTTATTTATAGTAAAGATTCTACAGTACTAAAAGCCACTAAGGCATTAACTGACTTCTTCTACAGCCATAAGTATATAAAGAAAGAAATGTCAAAGTTTTAGTTTTTACAGTTTGTCATTTGCCTTTAGCTGACATCCACTATCTATGTGAGCAGTCCTTTTAGGTTAGGGGGAGGCCTGGAAGAAGGGTTTTCAGCAAAACACTTGCACGTTCCCTTACCATATCTTCTTTTGGTAAGCACCATTCTGCATCATGTAACCAATACTCATTGTAGCAATGCAGTGGCGGACCTAAGGAACAAAGGGCCCTGGTGCAATATTTTTTTTTGCCCCCCCCCCTCCCCCTCCCCCTCTCTATGTACATTGCCCCCCCTCTCTCTATAGATTGCCCCCCCTCTCTCTATACATTAGCCCCCCCGCTGAGAGGGGGGGCTAATGTATAGAGGGGGGGCACAATATGTCCGAGTAATGTTGGAGCTTACCACTGGGGCCACCACAGATGCTACAACCCTTCCTGCACGTGCGGTTTGTAATGCTTTCGGCCCCCAATTTCAGTATGTGTCAGTTGCATCTTTTGCATTCTTTCAAACCAAGGGTACCAGGAGGAGAAGGAGCCTGGTGCCTTCCAGTAAAACCCAGCTTAAAAGCTCGCAGAAGGTGCAGCTCCTACATGCTAGAAGCAAAAAATCTAAAATGTTATAACCTCAATTGCAAAAAAGAAATGGTAGGCAAAGGCCTATGGTTTTAAAGAGGGTAAACCATTAATCATTTTCTGGGCAGACTGCACTTGGGGTAGGGGGGCATTTACCCCGGAACAAATACTGTGCTGGTAGCCCTGAGGGAGAATGCTTCACTATCCAGATAACGATTAGGACCAGCCATTATGTATCTTTTTTTGCACTCTGTTAAGCCCGACAATTATCAGGGTTATTCACAAAAGGGTGAAGAGTTTGGGGAAGGCAGGAGAAGTGAACAATCTAGGACAACTTAGCAGAACTGGAAAGTGAGCTGAATTGGAGAATTTTTCCAAATCAGCTATTTTGGTCTAGATTGTTCACTTCTCCTGCCTTCTCCAAACTCTTCACCCTTTTGTGAATAACCACTTATGTGTCTGGCAGAGGAAGGTCTATCAGCACCAACCTCCTTTATGTCTCTCAGATTTCATGTCACCAAATACAACAAAGGAAGCTGAAAGATATAAAAAGGCCTATCACAATCCTCTATGTTCTTTAGCAACACACATCTTTCATTATGCCCACCAATTAATAGGGAACAATGGAATACTTTGCATGGTACATTTTCTTAAACATGGGGGTAGGGGCTATATGGCTATTGTGTTTTCCCCAGACCAAAGGTTCCAAGTCCTCCCCCGGCCTGCTAGCTTTTGTATTTGGATTGCTGGGACTGCTTTTTTGATGCAACTTCTATGTTCAATGCTTTTTAGATAATACATATACTATCTTTGCTCATGCCTTGGTAATACATCTAATTCATACTTTCTTTTACTTTTATCAATTTTTACATTTAGCCAAAATACATTACTATTTATTACACCCTTGTGCAGCCTAACCTATTTTACCGTATTTGCTGAATGTTTAGTCATTTTTACTAGAAGGCTATTAAACCAGTATTGCCAATAATAATTATTTAATCTTTGTTCCTAGATTCTGGTGACCTGTCTGGCTTTTGTCCAGATCTACCAGATCAATTTCATAATGGAAAGAAAGAAAAGCATGGCAATAGATATATCAAGTGGAAAGATGCAGGGAAACAGAGAAGAGTTTGTTCAACAGTTGGAGCAGATGTAGGTGGACTGTGAATATCCAGGGTAGCACGGTTATCAAGAACTTTTCAGTCAGGACCTACTTTGGAAGGGAACCATGTAACTATTTAAAAACAAGATGTCTTTGTTTAACAGAAGCTGTGTTTCTGATTCTCTGTGATTCTCAGAGATGGAAAAAGACTGTGAATAAGAAGCATCAATATTTCTATGTTACGGCATTAAAACTCCAATTTAAACAGAATTATTTTTTTATTATAATATCTGTATAATCTATATATAATTATGTCTCCAATTATGAAAGAGGGAGGGCTGCTTATTTGCTGATCTTCTAAACCAAACCCATAATAATTTGTTGTTTGTGGCAGGCCAGTTTTACACTTAAATAAAGCTGGAGAAACTGTGCTGTGGTGCTAAGGAGGGGTGGTCAAACACAGCTCCTACATTTTTAATAGTTCTTAGTAAGGTTTTTGAAACGTTAAATTGTATATTACTTGTACATTTTTGCAAACTAGCTGCAAGATAGATACTGATGGATTACTCTCACTTTGTCAAAATATGGCGAAACTGAGAAAAAAGGAAATTCCTTTTAAGCGAATTGTAAATATTTAAAACTGATAAAATTGAAATTACCATGAAAAAAACATCAAAAGTTTGATGCTGAAAAATCTTGTACCAAACTGGGGGAGCTAAATAGTTAGCATGTATATCTAGTAGCACAGGATCCCAGGCCCAATTACTGTCAGAAGCACTAAATGTAGAACATGCACTCACAAAGTAATTTATTACTAACTCTATACTAGTACTGGGTATGTCTTTCCTTTTCTCCCAAGACAGCATCAGTTCTTCATGGCATAGATTCCACTATCCATAAATCAGTGCTTTGAGATTTTGGTACTTGTTGACATGACTGGATCATGTAATTTCTGCAGATTTGACATCTGCATATTCATGTTGTGAACATTTTACCATATCTCAAATGTGTTCTTATGAATTTGGATCTAGTGACTGGGTTACCATATGTATTCCTTAGCAGAAACTGAGATTCATCAGACCAGGCTACATTTTCCCAGTCTTCAACTTCCCAGTTTTGATGAGCCTGTGTCTACTTCAGCCCCACTTTTCTGTTCTTGGCATGGTTCAGTGTGTTGTGCATTTTAAGATGGTTTTATGCCCACAATAGTTGTAACGAGAGGTTATCTGGATTACTGTAGACTTTCTGATAATTCAAACTATTCTTCTTTGATGTCTGACATCAGTGAAGCTTTTCCAGCTGCAGAACTGCCACTCACCGGATGTTTAGAGTTTATTAAGATGGGTGCAGAAAATAAAAAAGATTGTTGTGCCCAAAAATACCCAGAGATCAGCAGTTACAGCATTTCTAACACCAACCCGCCTGGCACCAAAAAGCATGCCATGGTCAAAATCGCTGAGATCAATTTTTTGCCCCATTCTGGTGCTTAATGTGAACATTAACTGGAGCTCCTGGCCTGTATCCGCATATTTCATTGAATTGCCCTCCTGCCACGTGATTGGTTGATTAGACAATTTCATAAATAAGCAGATGTACAGGTGTTCCTAATAAAGTATAGTCTGCTCTGGTTTCCTCATGCAAACAGAAGAAGTAATTTTTGGTTTCCACCCAGAACTAGACCTACTGCAAATGTGTATGACTGTGAAAGGAACATTAGACTGTAAGCCTCTTAAGGACAGATGTAGTTGTTGTTGGTAAAGTGCTGTAGCAAATGTTTCAATGCTATATAAATGATTAAATACACATCTCAAACTACTTAGTCAAAAGGGAAACTTTTGTCTCTGAAATTTTGGTGAAACAAAAATGACTGAAGATGTTTTTGTTGGATTTCTCTAATTTACTCAATGTAAAAACTTCTGTGATAGTTATTTATCTTGTGAAGTCACTCATATTGCCAATAAAACCTCAAATTTTAAAGTGAAATTACTTTTGTAATTATTAAAAGACAATGAAGGCATATTTATGCATTCTAACCATTATTATTCACACAGACTGTGAAAAGAGTGCAGGTGCAACAAGGTGCTGTCAGTTGGGTGATAGGGAAAGCATTATCAATAAAGAACGTACCAGATCTAAACTAGTCCAACCTGCCTCCCCACAAAGCTTACCATTACTGAAGTATGTGTAGAGACAGAAGAAGCATGTGAAGTGAGATCATAGGCAGCACTGCAGTTCTCTAAAGGCTCGTTTAAACAGTCCCTAGGAGAAAACACATGTTGTTATAGAGATGGTGTACTGTCACACACACATTGCGTGTCTCTCATTGTATTCCACTGTAGACAAAAGCTGCTTACTGTTTCATTGCCATTAACACCATCACCAGCTCCACTCGGTTACTTACAGAAGAATTATTTCTACAAGGCTTTTTTGTATATCTTTTTATTTGAATTCTGTCACTGTCTATTCATTGATGAGACATGTCTAGAAATCATATACAGGTGGGTCGGCTGAGTGTGGAATTGAAGTGAAGGTTTTGTAGCAAGACCTTTCGTTATTATCCTACACAATCAGGTAAATGACTACTATGATTAATGAATGACTATTGTATTATATATATTTGTGTGATGGTGCATGACAAAATTTAAGTGTTGGGGGAAGGGGGGAGGGAAGACAAGAAAACACCTTTTCACTATAAGATAGGACAATTTTTGTTTCAAATTTTCTCATTTTGAGGAATTGTATAGGCAAGGTATTAAAAAAAATGTAGTTAATAGAGCAAACAGAAACATTGCCATTGCCATATACAGTATGTTTGCTTTAATTTTCCGAATTGTAATTAAAGTGACATGATCTAATTGGTTGCTTTGAAAAACATTTCTGCTTTTCTTGTCGCCAGTTTTCTGAACTGTGCTCCTCATTGTAGGCTTTTATCAACTGTACAAAAATCTGTGCAGGCCTCTGGTAAATGCTCTCTCTTTCAAATAGATAGGGCCATGTCTCCATGGACGACATACCACAAACCCTGTTATGTAAAAGCTTTATCTATACTTAGGTAATACTGAAATCAAATTTGAAGGAAGGAAACAAGTCTAAAGCTGGCCATACACATATAGATTATGTGCACATTTTCTCTGGTCAGATGGAAAAAGTGCAACAAATTCCTCCATCTACGCTAAACTGTGTGGATGGAGAAATCTCCTACTGGACCAAGCTTCAGTATCTTGCTAGTCGGCCCCGCTGGCTCTCAAAATATCTGAATAATTTGATTGGATGCAGGCATTGTTCTGGTGTTTTGAGAGCCAGCAGGGCTGACTATCATGATACTGAAGCTTGGCCCAGTGGGAGATTCCTCCATCCACACAGTTTAGCGTAGATGGAGGAATCTGTTGCACTTTTTCCATTTGACCATAGAAAATCTGCAGATAATCTATAGGTGTATGGCCAGCTCAAGCTAGGGAAAAGCTGGTCTTAGGTCCAGCTGTGCAAAATGCTAGTGGGTGCCCCCCTTTTGTGTCTGAGGAGTATCTGCTCTCTTCAGAGCTTCTCTCATCAGCTGTGCAGAGGTGCCTCACCAACCCAATGTGGCAACCAAGTAAAAGCCTTTCTTAAAACATCTTTCAGGGTCAAGGGATACTTACAAAATGTGATATAAACTACATGCTGACAACTGTAACACTGAGACTGGGACTGGAAGGGTCAACTATTTGAGACAGTCAGGGAAATACAGTTTAGCACAATGCTGTCAGTATAACACTGAGAAGTTGCCAACAGTAGAAGAGAACACAGAAGTAAACCAGTCAGTGTTATGCTTGTCCTTCATTGCATCATTCATTAGCAGTTCCATGGTGGGTCTTGGACAAAGCTATATTGCCTAACTACAGTAGAGAAAAGTAAGGTCATTGACCTGGCTGTGCTGTCTGGCAGGCATTCCTGGATCACAAGATCAGTTAAACAGCATTATAAATCATTTGCCTTGTAATACATTTTACACTTATATGTGTTTCAACTGTGTTGTTTGCTTTGAATTCACATTTTAGCATTGTTCTCACATGTGGGGAGTGCTCAGGAGCAAGTCAAACAGCATCTACAACAGAGAGAAATTACTTTGACAAATGCCTTTACATATTTAAAAGAATGTAATACCGAATTTTTCTGTCTATAAGACGCCCCCATGTATAGGACGCCCCCCACTTTTCTTACCCAAAATTCAGAAATCAATATTTTCCATGCTCTTTTGCATAACTGATTACATCCAGTTTAAATTTTGCAGAGTAAGACAGACGCTTACTGGTACTGGTATTTACCGGTATTTTTTTTTGTTTTCTGACATTTTTATGGGCTCCCTGTTGCATCTGGGCACTGGCTACACGCTCTCCGCAGCATCAGCTGACGTCGGGTACATAAGGCTCATGATTGGAGGAAACCTGTTAGCTTGTCTCTGCAATCGGAAGTTTCACTCGTGAGGCTAGTCTGCAGAGGTATCGGTAGTTTCGCAACCGCGGTTCTCCTCTCGGCCCCTTGTGTATAAGACGCCCCTCCATTTTTAGGTAAATATTTTTAAGAAAAAGCATAGTCTTATACACGGAAAAATACAGTATATGCTTTTTTTCTTTAAAGCACAAGCTCAGAATAACAGAAAAAGGAGTATTTGTCAAAAATTGTTTACACTTCTGCACATACTTTGAATAATCTTGCGTATTACTTATTAATTACTGAAATGTGTGACGACTGCACTCTCAGCCTCAGATTGCACTTCCAGCTTGCGGGACAACAATCTGAGAGTGATCATCATAGGGGTCAGTTAAAGCTGCAGTTACCCTTTACACACACAAAAAGTAGCCATCACGTGTCATAACAAAAACATACACTATTCTCTTGACTCTTCCCGTATCCTTTGCAGTTTTGATGTCATACGAGAGCTGCCATCTTTTCTGGCCCCTGAAGAGGGCATTTACTAATAATAACATAACGAATCAAGGGTCTAAGGTGTGTGCTGAAGGGTGGGCTGAACTGTGTTATGATGCTTCAGTGGACACTCCCTCAATGCCATTTTTTCTAATGATATAGATATTTTTAGTTGTTTTTAGACCATTTATTACAGCCTAACAACCAACAGGTCATGGCACAGAATAAAATCACAATTTGATAGACATTAAACATAATATGGATATTATGCATATTTTCCATAGGATATGCAATGTATCCAATTCGCCTGGTGCACATTATAGCACATTATGGGCATGTTTGGTACCTAATTCATTGTTATTCTCTTATGCATTAGTGTAGCCACGTTTATGAAAACAGCTTGATTACAGTGCCAATTACAACATATGAATAGATCTTGGCTCTGGTAGTTTAATAAAAACAGAGCAGAGTGTGTATTTGCTTTAAACCATTTCTAGACTATTTTATGACTATTTCTGGTAGTTCTTAACTCTTAATAGTTTTACAACTATTTACAAAGCTATTAGCTATCAGATCTTATGAAATTGCAGTTTTACGATGGGGCCTTATTAGAAGTCTTTTGAGGCTGTGCAGACCCTGGGCTAAGTACTTACTGTTTATTCAACTTGATCTGCTCGAGCTGGTTGTTGTAGTGGGGAGGTAAATAAAATGTGTTATTTCTCTGCCTGCCCATGGACACAAGATCTAAATCTGACTGTTCTGTCTTTTCAGTTCCTGTAAAATTTTAGATTTCCCTGACCATACACTGTGCAAATTTCTTGATGAACCGGCCAAAATTTGTTAAGTGGGTGGCCCTTTTGACAGCTTTCTGTCCAGCATCCTTCGATCAGTAAAATTGAAGGAGCTGGTTGGAAAATTTTTGGGCAGACAGTGACTGTTCGGGTACTCAGACAGCGGCAAAAAGTGCAATAGCCCAACAGGACATTTAGCTATGCACACTATTTAGCTTGGATAGGGGAATATGTTATGTTCCTCAGTCCGCAGGTTGAACAAAAAAAATGTAACAGTGTAATGCCAGCTTTACTTTCTGTCTTGGTGACTGTGGTTGCCAGGTAATTGAAAGTAAATCTAAATAATGCAGAGATATATAGCAATAAAAATCAGACAGATGTTCTAACTCTCCCACAGTCTAGCAAAGGCTAGAAAAAAGTGAGGTTTCACTTTAGTAATTGATTAAATATGTGTCCGTATATTACCATCGTAAAAACAGTGCCAGATCATCCATAAGGCAACCTAAGTAGGAACCTAGGGCCCACTGGATTTCCAAAGGGCCAACCTTTAAGCACCTACAATGAATCGGGAGATGGCACAATTGGTCAAAGCTGTGTTCCCCTTTGACCCTTTAGAAGAGAAGATGTACTTGTAGGCACTGATGAGTTCATGCCAATGCACACAATGCAGATGGAGTCTTCTCTGTGCCTGTTCTAATCCTTATCAATAGAAGGAATACGTGCCAAAGTGGTACATTGCCAAGGTCCCCATTCTGCCCTAATGCATCTTTGATCCTAAAGAGATTACACATTGCAAATGTGCTCAGCAGTCTGAACAGGTTACAATCTGTTGTAGCCATGCTGAATATTCATCTGCATTGTCCAAGCACAGAACAGTGTTGAAAGTAACAGTCTCTATAAGTCTACTATTCAGCTTTCTGTGAGATTTAAAATAAAGGTGTCTATTGTGTTACATTTTCAGTTGTTTATTATTTGTCAATGGCAACCTGATTTTTAAAAATAAAACCAAATTCCTGAATGTTCTTGTATTTTCATAAAGAATTCTTCAATACAGTAAAATGGATCAAGAAAACATAAAATACATTCTCCAAGGAAAAGTTGTGCCTCTTCCTGCAGAGTCATCCAATACTGTCCGACTCTTCATAAGCTCCACATTTTCAGGTAATGCTATGAAGATTGTCACTAGGCACAAAGCATACACTAATCATAATTGGGGTGTTCTTTATTTGGCCATATTGCCTTCACAGGCCATCTTTTTGCAGGTAAAAATTTAGCAGGTGTCCTTGTGTAGTAGAAAGGGCTCATATACACTGTGCATCTTGTTTTCCTGCATCATTAATGACAATAATGATGTGGCTATGAATAAATAATGACAAACGGATTATTTTCTCAGTCTTATCCCTACCAAGGAAGCTATGCTGCACTGCTTCATTTTCAGAAAACATCCAGTAGATACTAGAGCTTGTTAGTATCAAAATTAAAAAAATCCCCTTTGTTTTAAAGAGATTCTGTCGCCGGACCATTTATTTGAACAAAAATCTTACCATAAGATTATCTGTGCATTGATTGTATTTTATGCATGTTAGTTACCTATAAAAGCCTCCCATGTGTAGGCATCCAAAAGCCCTGAAACGGTGATGTCAACAGCCCCAGCAGACTCAGAGCTATCACTAACACGGACCAAGTGGGGGTTCTGTCTGGGCTACGATCTCCGACCTGCACTGGGTTATGGCTGTCTGTCAGTGAATACACTAACCCCTGAGGCCAGTGTATCCACTGCCAGCCATAACCCAGTGCAGCTCCCCCCCCCCCCCCTTGCTTCAGTCATTGGTTGCAAGGACCGCTGGCTTCCTAGCAACCAATGACATCAGGAAGGGCCAGCTTGTCAACAAGTGATCTGGGAGGCTGTCAGGGACCAGAACACCTCCAGATGGCACTGTGGCGCTGGAGCAGATCCTGCAGTTCCAGTGCTCACCTGCAGGTGTAGCAGCAATTAGTCACCACTTGGTGGTGATCTGGTAGGGTATTTAACCTCTCCCTGCAGTGAGGCCTGTGCCTCAGTATTGTCGCCATAGCCTGTATCCTGTTGCCTCCTTGGACCCGGACTCCTGACCCTTATCCCTGAGGTCTCCCGATCTGTGGCTGCCCTCTTGTTGCCCTGCTCCCTAGGTTAACTAGCCCTGTTGTCTTCTGTGTGTGATTTTGCTGTTTGCATTTAGTTTGGCTATTAAATGTTACTTGTGGGTGTTGGTGGGGTTGCTTGTGTTTATGTGATTTTGGTATGTCTAATAAACTATAAGTTCATAAGCATTGTTTGGTGAGGTCACGTATTTGGTCCTTCTGTATAGATACCTGCACGCGTTGTGTGGACACCCGTGCACGGTATCGTGATAGAGGCTGTGCAGCCACCCAGATCTTGTACCCAGACTTGTACTAGTCTGTGACCATGCCGCTCCCCCCTTCTGCACTGCCCACCATAGTTTTCAGGGTCCCACGGCTGAAGGTGCCAGGATGGAGAGGGGGAGCAGACCGAGGAACATCCATTCCCCAATCTGCTCAATATGCTCTATGCTGAATGAAGCAGGGAGCACAGTGCTTTCAGAGCTCCCTGCTTCACAGCTGTCAGAAACCAGCTGAAGTGCCGGGTGAACAGTAGATCAGGCACAATGCTGTGCTTGATCACCTGTATTGAAGGGTAGGAGAGTCATCAGGGTTCTCTCGAAATAAGAATCGATCCTTACAGTGGGGCTTCCCCTGCACTTCAAGGGTTAAGAGCTAATTTTATTCTAGGAGGAACAAAAAATTCAGTAATACTTACATCATTCCTCACTCTACATGACCGGTCCCACAAAGCCATGTCTCTTCACTGCTCCATTGTTCACAGGCACTCTGATGTCATCATGTACATTGCAGGACCTGAAGCCCTGCATTGTAAGTGAGTACTCAGAGGGTATGCCCACAACCCAGAGGTAGAGGAGACCAACTGCAAGGATTATTTTTTATTTCAATGCAGAACTCGACCAACCCATTCGATGTTCTCCCAAAACAAATACTTTCAAGGCCTGCCAAGTATCAAGGTTGCCAGTGTGCTTATTTCAGCTCTAAACCAAATTTTTAAGCCACCAAATGGCTGGTGTCATAGCTGATTACAGGTGCAGCACCATGACAACTGCAATCCATAAAGAGGCTAAGATGGAACCTTTCTTGGCTGTCAAGGATAGGAGGTTGTAGTTCTACTTTATGTTCAGTTTGGAGTTTAGCTTAAATGTAAAGTATACTTCATCCTTTTAAGTGGAAATAAAAAAGCTAATGGGACAATTCCTTAAAGACACCACATTTACCACCTTTGCAAGAGACATTCTTTGGTCATTTTTTTTTACTGTTTAACCTTTTCAGATATGGCGGAGGAACGTGATGCACTAATGGAGATAGCCTATCCTGAGATACAAACCTTTTGCCAGAAACATGGACTAACATTTGAGGTAAAACCCTTAAATATAAAGTGTATGTCCAGCCAATACAATTTTTTGCTTTGGATAGAGTGAGGAAGGATTAGAACCCACGTAAAAGGGTAGAACAATAAAAATGTAAAAGGTGAAAGTTATAATCTCTGTCAGTGTTTTCTTGCTGTATGTGTCCCTGGTGCAGAATTTTTTCATGACTTTACTGTTTGGAGGAACTGTTGTCACCATGACAATAAGGGAGAGGAAATCTCTTTCACGGAGCCCCAAATAATAGTAAAAACTAGGGCTGGTAATGATTAAAAATTTTGTGTTCGATTAATCGAAATTTTTTTTAATCGATTCATCGATTAATTATAAGCCATTATTATACAGCCAAGGGAACTGTATAACTGGAAGACAAAAAGAAAGAGAAGGGTGCCCACCCTAGTGCAGATGGTTCTTTATTGTTTAAAAATAGCAAAATAGAGTGCAAAAGTATTCACAATGGTAGATCGAGTAGAAGCCTAAATGAGTAGTGCAAGGATACATCAGTTTACAAACTTCAATAATTTTGATCGATCAAAAAAATTAACGATTAATCGAAGGATTAATCGTTAATTTCCGCAGCCCTAGTAAAAACCTGAAATAATCCTTTTGCTCTCTACTCAAACCTAAACAAAAAGTATTGGCTGAGATTACATTTTACAAATGGGAAAGACAGCATATAGAAATATTACTTACTCTATGGAGTCTATTTTTAAACAATTTTGCAAGGCCCTTCTCCTTTGAATATTTGTGAACGTTTCCTTTTGTGTGAATTATAGCAGAAACAATTCGCAGGGAAGGGCCCTGTGAATAGTTTAAAAATAGACCCCTATGTCTTGTTAGGTGACCTCTGAACTCCATATTAAAGGGTATAGCTTTTTTTGAAGCTACCAGATTCATATATCTCTCTAGGTTGAACAAGAATGTTTTCAGTTTAGACATCCTGGCTTTACTCAATTGCAATAACCGTTACAAAGGGACTTCACTTTGTTGGATTTTGCACTTCATTTAGATAATGCAGTTGCAGTTGGAGTGGGGGGACTATGGCAAAGTTTCAGAGATGGTAGCTCCAACAAAATTATCTCACTGCTGGAGTTGCTGAAATATAAGTGGGTGACAGCCAATCAGTGTCCATCTAAAGCTTAAGTACATTTTGTAAGTGGGCTTGGCCTTTAAGAAATAAGTACTGTAAAATTTTCAATTATCTTTTTTTGATTATGCCATTAAAAAAGGAATGGTTTGTGCATACCACACCTACCAGGTGTATGTGTGTTTGGTACTTCTTACACTCTGCTATCTCACAGGTTGTGGACATGCGTTGGGGAGTACGAGATTATGCATCAGTGGATCACATGACTACAGATCTTTGTCTAAAGGAAATTGAAGCCTGTAAGAAGACCTCTATTGGACCGTATTTTATTGTGAGTTTTATGTCTTTCAGCTCTTTCCTATTTAGGACTTTTGCTTCCTTGCCTCTATAGCATCAAACAATGATGAAAGTTTGCTACTTCACTTTAGGACTAAGTCTGATTATTTTTGATTCATTTAACCTTACCGATAACTTTCTTTTCAATATGTATTATTAATTTTCAAAGTACAGATAAAGAACAAAGCAAGTGTAAATAATAAGTAGTGTTAACGATCCAAGGTTCAAACTCTAGTGGTTACCAAGCATTTAGAGTCCATTGAAACTAAGGACACTGAAAACAATGAGAATATAAGAACCAAGGGTACAAGCGTGGTGTAAAACATCATAACCATAATACTTACATTTCAAAGACATCCAAAGCAAAAACATAAGAAGTACATTAAGGGTGTCCCCTTTGTGCTGTTACAACAGTTGTATAAAACAGGACACAATGCATATAGTTAATTTCCTTAAAGGGTTTCTAAAGCCTCCGTTTTTTTTTGTATATATCTACTGCTAGCAAGAGGTAGATTATAGGCAAAAAGTAAAAAAAAAACGCTTTAACAGCGGTTTAAACTTACCCCATCTTCGCCACGCTCAGAAAATCCGAAACTGCTCGGGTGGCCGCAAAGCATCTTGGGGCGGGCGCATGCGCAGTTCGGATTTTCGGCCGGGAGACGAGGAGAGACGCAAGGTAAATCTATGGGCGTGTGCACCCGCATGCAGACACCGTGGGACAGGAAGTGCCAGCAAGGACAGAGGAGTCAGCGCTGGATCGGAGACCCGCAGCAGTGCTGGAGGGACAGATGAAAACATCAGGAAAGAAGAAGAAGATCGGATTAAGAGACATAATTTAAGGTAAGTGCTAACATTAACATTGGGGGAAGGGAAAACATTTTTTACTTTAATGTCACGTTAAGCATTACCAGCTCATTATCAGTATAGCTGGTTTATATACTGCCATCATCACTACAAGATCTTGGGGAAAAATAAATGCATTTCTGGATGGAAATAAATGTTGTGACATTGCATAAGCTTTTCGAAAAGGATGCCATGGCGAATGTGTGCTGTAATCAAAGCAAAAAGTGGTCCAATGAAATATTACAGTGTGGGACTTTTTTTGTAGCCAGGCAGTGTAATTTTTTGGGAGTAAAGACATTGGCCTCTTTTGCTGTAAAACATATATAAATATGGAGAAAAAAACATATTATACACCAAGATGAGCTCCCCCTTTTCTCAAAGAATGAATTAAATGGAACGTTTCACACTTTAAAACAACGCATCCATATTAGTCAATTCATAGAAGTACATATGCGGCAAGTGCGCCCGCATTGAAAGGAACAGAGTGAAAGAGCCTTTGAAAGTTTACACCAGGGGCCGGCTTCCTTGGAACTCCATCTGTGGTGAAACTAAAAATCCCTTCATGTCTGTGGAAGTCCTGTCTGTGGCTGTCAGAATCTTGCAATGCCTCATGGGACTTGTAGTTTCATCACAGCTGATGTGCTGATGCTGTCTACCCCTGGATTAGACTATTCCAGACTGCTGAGTAAAACTGTGGCATTACCTGTTGTTCACCTATAATTGGAATAGAAAACACACCTCTCTTGGGTATATTTCACTTCTAATACAAACGTAAAAACCTCCCGAGGCAGACCACTTCATACTCATTATATAAACAACACAGGTGTGTGCTGTAGTCTTTATGATAGAAATATCAAAGCTTCATGTGATCTGGAATTATGTTTGCTTCATCAGCTGAAGAACATTATCAATTACACACTGCAAATATCTATTCACTAAGTAGCATCTTTATAACCACTGTGTGTGTTTAGTTTTATTGTAGGTGCATAAATCTACAGCCTCATCTGAGTATTGAGTATGGTTTTATTCTTCATGACCTCACAGTAATACACCGATATCTTTAAAATAGAATAAGTAGAGAGAGAGAGAAGACATTTGCCCAAGGCAAGGTCATAGGTCAAAAGCTTCAAAACTCCATCATTGTCTTCTCCTCTAAAATATCTTTCTTTATTCAGTACATGCACGGACCTGCCTGTCTACAACTACAAAAAGTCCATTTACAGAAAGATGTGTTCATTCACAAAATAATTACATGTAGCAGTCATTCCCATGAATGTGTGATAGAACAGTAACAGCAAATATGACTTTCAAGTAAACCTATATGTAACATTTTCCTTTGTACAGGTGTATAAAACACTATAGTGCATTAGGTTCTTAATTATCCATCAGATGGCATATGTACTAAAATATAATTTTCCTAATACACTATATATAGGTCAGTTAATAGGTTACACAAAATTAGCCTTCATAAATGTGGCCATAGCTCGGCATTATTATAAACCAGCAAAAGTGTACCCACTCTAGAACAGGCAAGGATGGGGTAGTGCAGAAGTGGTGGAGAGAGCAGGGGGGTTGGAGAGCAGGTTCAGGGGTATTGGGTGTAAGGGTGGGGAGGGGGGCGCGCTTCCAGCAGACCTAGGTGAAATCAGAGGGTGCATGAGGAGCATGCAGTGAGTGTAGGGCAAAGTGTAAGAGAAGGGGTGGTGAAGGAGAGAGCACAGCTATGGTAGCGAGGAGTGGGTGTCCAGGTGTAGTGTTGTGGAAGTGATTGGGGTGCACTTTGTGGGGGCATGGAGATGGGCCTAAAGATGAAGTGGCGGAAGCTAGTGAAGGTGTATTGATAATGAGGGGTATAGATGCAGTGGTGAGAGGGGGTTGTAAGGTGAGACCATGGGGATACAGTGTTATGTGGGGGGGAGAGGGGGGTTGTGCAGGGGTGGTGAAGGAGAGAGCACAGCTATGGTAGTGAGGAGTGGGTGTCCAGGTGTAGTGTTGTGGAAGTGATTGGGGTGCACTTTGTGGGGGCATGGAGATGGGCCTAAAGATGAAGTGGCGGAAGCTAGTGAAGGTGTATTGATAATGAGGGGTATAGATGCAGTGGTGAGAGGGGGTTGTAAGGTGAGACCATGGGGATACAGTGTTATGTGGGGGGGAGAGGGGGGTTGTGCAGGCAAGGAATGAGAGCAGTAAGAACCCAGAAGGGGGGTACAAGCATGGTGGAGAGAGCAGGGGGTGCATGCATGGTGCTGAAATGTGGGGCGTGCAGATGTAGTGTATAAGGTGGGGGCTGGGGTGGATAATGTGGATCAGCTGGTAAGAGAAGGTGCCTACAGGAGCACTGGAGGTAGGGGTGCTGGTGTGGTGGTGAGAGAGGGGACGGGCAGTGTCCAGGTACATTGTTGAAAGCTGGGAAGATGGCATGCAGGCATTCGGTGAGTAGGGTCTGCTGATTCATACATTCATGAAAGAAGGCATGATGGGTGATCACAGAAGGGGGGGGTGCAGGCACTGTGGATGCTGAGAGAAGGGAAATTGCAGGTGCGATAGGTGCTAAGAGAAGGGAGGTGCAGGCACAGTGGGTGCTGATTATATGCTAGTATAGGTATACTAATAAGTATAAAAAAGAAGATGCATGTGCCCTTACTTTACCTGTACTTTTGAGAGTACCCTAAGCCATATTGTTAATTTGTCTATATCTTTATTTCCATAGGGCTTAGTTGGTAATCGATATGGTTATAGACCCATGCCTCGACTTATTGGTGAGGAAGAATTTAATATCCTGTATAAAAAGGTACTTAAGAATGAAGCTGAAGCACAGCTGCTAACCCACTGGTATTGGAAAGACATAAATGCTGTTCCTCCTATGTATGTTTTTCAACCAATCACAGTTCACCTTCCTCATTTCTCTGACAACAATCCATCCCATGCAGAGCTTCAGCTAAAAGAAATCAAGAAGTGGAGAGAAAGTGAAAAACGGATATCTCAGGCATTGCGCTTAGCAGCAGAAAATGCTCAGAAAGAAGGACTGATCACTTTAGAGCAAAAACACAAGTATTTCAAATCAGGTTTGTGATTTTGAATGTCTAGGGGATTTTGGTGGTTTTTGTTGTGTTTTAAAGGGAACTTTTTTTTTTCCGTTTTGCATAATGTTGAAAGGGTAGGGTCCTTGGTCCAATTTCTATTGCTATTTGTGTCCCTCACTTCTCATATCCTGTCCTGGTAACACAGGGAGCTTGTTGTGAATTGCATTTCCAGTTTGACCTCACTGGATTACATTCTTTCTATATTTCTTTGGAGAATCTACTAGGGGCTATTGACATTGTCACTGGTAACCTAGAGAAATATTCAGGGGAACATCTGGCCGAGAGTCCTGGGCGCCAAAAACAGCAATCACCATTGTGACTTGGCACTGTCCTGTCACACTTAATTGAGGAAAATATCTCCCTTTCCTTTCCGGTGTAACAGGCTGATCTTCCCACTGGAAAGCCTGCTTAACAGCAGTCACAAACAGATCTACCAATCCCAAATTAAAAACTCCTGGAACAGAATCATCTTGAGGCTCCTTCACCTTCTCTGACAAGCTTTCCTCTGCGTTCTGTTCTGATGTTGCTCTTGGATTGTTTCTCCCTGTTGTTGATGTACTCGGCTTGTCCCAGGATGTTGAAAATTCTCTAAGAGAATCCTGTACCACCTGCTTAATGAGGCCCATGACATCCTCTTTCTGCTGACCCGAGTCCTTAGCTGCTTCAGCAAAGCAGGATGGGCAGACTAATTTATCCACGATTGCTGGGTTATCACAGGCCCAACAGCATACTGATGTTGGCCTAGACCTTAAGACCTGATAAGGTGGAGGCATATGATGACCTGCCCCTCTGGAGCGACGTAAGGAGGATTGAGAGGTGGAGCGATGGCGGTGCGCCTTATAGTGTCTCTGCTTTCTTTCTCAAGGAAGGCATGCGCTCAGGGCTGTTAAAAGAACAAGATTCAATGAATGGCAAGAGAAATAAATGGCTCTGTAACAACTATACTTGCCAATATGTCCCCTACCTAGTGTCATGGGGACCTTTCATTTGGGGTGAGTCGTCCATTCCTTCTTTGCAGCTGTGTGGCAAGGTAGAAAAAGGAGAGAGAGTGAAAGCACCATGAATGTCCAATTCCCAACAAACTGAAAACAAAAACAGAAGAAACAGACACTTACAGCAGCCACAGGATAAGAAAAGAACCAGTGTACAAAAACAGCAGCATTCTCAGACAGAGCAAAAGCCCAGTGGAGCAGCCCCGCACTTGCGCTGGGAAATTTAAATAGGGCACTATAATGAACAAACTCTTCCCCTACCTGAGCAGCGTTCGGATGGCCGACTGCCCCTAACCAAGATGGCCACCACTACCTTCCCGCAGTACTGTGCATGCTCCGACTCAACGCCTGCGCAGTCCACACCACTGGACGCCACAGGCAGAGGTGGCTGTAAATCTCTGCAGCAGGACCCGTACAAAGCGATGGGAGGAGGAAACAACACCGAAGCCGACAGGAAAGACAGAACAGGCGAAATACAATAAAGGAATAAGTAGGGGGAAAAAAAGGAGCAAAAAACTGCCACAGAGGCTGCACCCACCATCACCAACCATGGCACTACTGGCTGTAAAGATCCCCAAAAACACAGCCTCCTGCACCTTATACAGCGCATTTAGCAGCTTAAGTGTGCAGACTTCACCCAGGAGAACCTGATCTGGATGACCTAACCCTGTCAGGGTTATGGTAGGAGAATGACATGGTCCTGCAGGTCTTGGGACAAAGAACACGAAGGAGGGCTCAGGGTTAGGGTCAATTAATTTATAAAGTTACTGGTCCAGGGGGTTGAAGGTAGGTGGAGCTTCAACCACAGGCATGCTGCCATGTTGGCACTAGGAAAAAAAAAAGTATGTATATATATATATATATATATGGACAAAGGTATGGAAGGATTTGGTTCCAAAAATGGAACAGTCCCTTTAAATAAGGGACAGTGGGGGGCAATGCATCTGCACTGTTCTACTCTATGCTGAGGCTTCTTCTCACACCTTTCTCGCTAGACTGTTATGGAATAGCAGATAAACTGCTACTGTGCCACTTTAAAAGCATCCAGGCTACAGGAATTGCATGTGCTCTAAGACTGTGAGTACTTATAAAAGAGACAGATATAGAGATGACACGCCTTAGTCTTTGGCCAGTTTAGTTACGTTTAGTAGTGAAATGTTTTCTTTAGGCAACCCATGGACATGAGATTACAGGTGCTCGATCTGGCTACGTGTGGTTTGATTTAGTGATAATATCATTCATTTGTTAGTAGGCAGTTGTCAAAGTTCTCTCTTTACTGCTCATTTAGATCTGCATCTTACCTTAAGATCCACAATTTTGCTGCTTCATCATGTTGCTTTGGCCACTGTGCACTGGATGAAATGCTAGTGTTTACCCAATTATGCACAACCTCTAACCTCACTCTCCATCCTTCTGTGACCATTCTCCTCTACTTTCATCAGTGACTACCATCCTTTTTGGGCATTGTCCTCTACTTGAAACACTCTTTCTGCCTTTTTGGCCATTTTCTTCCATTTTGATCCATACCCACCTTCCTTCCCTCTATGATCATTCTCTCCTTTCCACTGCCCTCTGCAGCCTACATCATTGCTGGATGTATGATAGACACTCGTGCTAGCATTGTGTCTTGGTCCTGTCTAAACGTGGCCACTCACAAAATGCATAGCTCCTGAATGGTTCCTGAAAATGTTGGTTTCTGAAGATTTTCCAGCAGCTGATTGTTCCTTAATACTGTATCAATCAACAGTGTGAACAGCAGGAAAGGTATCTAACTTCTTCTAAAAGGGGAGCCCTTTAGTTTAGCCTTAAGTTTTAGCAATAGAGTGGTTTTAAGTGACTGTTAAGGGACCACATACAAGGGATGGTTGTTGATGTTGTACATTATGACATGATGTTACAGACTTTAACTAGAAGTTTCAGATTGTAAGAAAATATGTTTAGAAGTACTTTTTCTGTGTTTGCAAAAGACACAAAGTTAAGTACTGCCCATGGAAGATGTCTCCAACTTTAAAGCTGATCTAGATAAACTAGTACAGTTGACAGTTTAGTGTAAGGTTGCACATTTTGGGGCCAAAAACAAGATTGGAACATACAATATAGGGGGTGTAAACTGGGTAAATCAGTAATGGAGAAGGACCGGAGTGTCTATGTGCATAGAGTAAATAACAGCATGCAATACCTATCTCCAGCTTAAAAAGCTAACAAAGTACTCTCGTTTAAATAACACTTAAAAGAGAGAGCAATATTATTTTTTCTGTATATAAAACATTAGTAAAACCCCATCTTGAATATGTAGTTTTGTTTTGGGCACCAGAGTTGTCGGTGCTGCAGGTAACTAACTTTTGGAAAGGTAACTTTCTAAAAAGCAAAAAATATAAATGGCTACTTATATGTATAAGTAATAGATAGCAGACTGTTAAATCAGGGTGATATTCAATTGGTCTAGCCTGCTTATGCATGATACCCATTGAAAGGCTTATTTATTACAATTAGTAAAATAAACTAAATAGCTGAATGGTGTGTGTGTGAGTGAACAATAGCAGCAGAAAACTGAGGAGGTAAAAGGAGAAAGCAAGCATGCAATAAGAGCAAGGGAGCTGTGATAGCAATCATATTGTGAATATGCAAAGATAAAAGCAAACCAGTATAGAACGGGCTTATAATGAGTACATTATATTATAATTTTGCAATCTTTCTTATTAAATATTTGTTCATATTGCCATATGATATTTCACACTGGCATGCACTCTGGAGCTGGAAAACACTATGTGAGTTTAGGTTATTGACAAAGCTGCAAAAGTCAATCTGTGACTGCTGACACTCAAGCTGAAGTGACAAAACAAATAAAACTAAAAAAAAGGACAAATCTAAATATGTTATTATATCTACAGACTTAGTAACAAAAGCGAGAGATTTCTGTAATTCAGCAAGTGAGTGTGGATTATTGGAGATAGAGAGTGTTAAACTCAAATTTAAGGTTATATTTGCAGACCAGGCAAACTGGAATTGGAAACAGAATTTTGTGTATACCTAGCATGTAAATATCAGTTGGTATTAGGTATTAAGCATTCTTTACTAATTTTAAACATTCAGGAAATGGGCTGTGCTGGACAATATGCATGAAAATAGAACATAGGTACCAAATTGTCACAGTCTGAATGGTGTGTGTCAAAACAATGATAGACTAAGATTAACTAAGTCGACTGTTACGACCCTGTTAGAACAAACTGGAATATTTTGCACATGTTCCTTGTGCGAGAATATGTTTCGTCCATCCTACTTCAAGTTTCATCCACTGCTATTAACTCTGGTCAAGGGTATTCAAAGCATAGATGGCTTTTTCAGGCTATATGCAGCCAAGACATGATGTCATCAAAGTCAGTTAGATATTGTTACTGTACTTTGTATAAAATATTTTCAAAAGACACAGTGTAACAAAACTAGTATTGGTGCTCACAAAACCCTTCACACAAACAATAAAAACAATTACAAAGACACTATTTTTGTAGTACGTATGTCTCTGTAAAATGTAATCCCTACTGGATGTTCAATGTATACATTTAACTGACTTATACCAAGACGTCATGTGCTGGCGACCTTAGCGCTGCCTACAAGAGTCCATAAAATACCTAAATAGAAGAGGTCTGCTGAGGCAAAATTAGTTTCTACGTTAACCAAGAAGGATGCAGACAATAAAAATATGTGTTTCAGCTGTCAATGTAGCCGTTTTCCTTGAGTTCTGATTTAATATCATAGCAATAAATGTGTATAACAATCTATTTTGTATTAAACTTATTTCAGTAACAGAGTGGGAGATTGAGTGTGGACTCTTGGCCTCTGACACAGATGAAGCAGGCTCTACTATGTTTTTCAGAGAAGTTAAGGACATTAATCTCTGTAAAGATGGTTTACAAATTTTAGATGTCAAGGAAGATGGAAGCCATGACTCAGAAGCTCAAGATCTTTTAGAAGAACTTAAATCCCGTATTGTCCAGAAACATCAAAACAAAGTAAAAACACTCACAGTGGAGCTAAGCAAACAAGCATTAAAGGCCAATTACCTTCAAATGCTTTGTGACCAGGTCATTGCTGTTGTAAATCACCAGATACTTAGATGTCTGTCTACAAGAGAAAAAGATATTTCAGAATTACAGGTAAACAAACTAAAAAAAAACAAAATATGTTTACGTGATCTTGTACATGTAATTTTGTACTGCTCTGAGAAAATTTTTAAGCTAGTGGATTCCAGATTTAAAAATGTTTTTGGTTTTGGATAAAATCAAGTTTTTTTTGCTGTCTGTGTCCCATTAGGTAGATTGTCCTTTAGTTTCTGTCTCCAGACACAACAGGTAGGACATCTGTCCACAGTTTGGGAAATCCTAGAGATATATCACCATAACATGTGTCCCCATTGGAAGATTTGTCCTCTATTCCTCTTCCAGTGACAACTTAAAATTAAAATTTTCAATGATGTTTAATCCTAGTGACAATGGTCAATAGGACAAATAGAGAGGGCAAATTTCTCCAATGAGGACATAGACAGCTCTAAAATTCTGTCAACGGTTCTAACACTTTCCTGTACTCTACAAAAGTAGAGACAATTATTTTGGCTTTAGATATACTTTATGATTTTGCCTATAGTGGTAATAAAGGGTTGCAAATGAGTGCTTGTAAATTGTCTTCTAACATACATGTGAAATATCATAACCCATGGCACCAGTTCATGTAAAGACTAATCAGCATAAACCAACCCTTTGGGGCATTTAAAGGTTAACTTTAGGCAGATATGAAATACAAAACTTAAAGAAGCTCTGCAAACATTAATACATTATTCAATTATATTTTGTACAAATAATGTCTTAATCCAAGCGGGCTATGTACCCAAATTAGACTTGGAATATGCCTAATGCAGGCTCTGCACAGCAGGGCAGGAGTGTGAGAGGTAGAAGCAGTACAAGGAGCCAATCAGTTATTGTGCTGACAAGAAGCATGCTCCTAGGAAGAGAAAACAGAGTGAAAGAGAGATGAGCTTATCACTGTGCTGCTTCTCCTTTCACTGTCCAGCCACTGGCTGGGCAGATGCAGGAGGGCCAGGGCTCAGAGGAATTGGACTGAATGTTGCTGGCCATCAGCAGTGACAGAAAAAAGTACTGCTGCTGAAATCTCTGGATCTTAAAGGTGAATATTGCAGCAAAAGCTAGTTTTGTTATTATATCTTTAATAGGCTCTTTATTTTTATCGTATTACTTTTGTCTGGAATTCTGTCATAATAGCAAAAATGTAAATAATAAACAAAACATGTGAAAACGTATGTATGGCGGTATTTCTCATACAAAATTTAACCACAAAGCATACACTTTAATTTTCATTTTGTGCCACAAGCAGTTTTCACTATAAGAATATTTTTGTAGATATTTATGCACCCTTATGTACCAAAATACATTTGAAAAAAAAAATGTGAAAACTAATATTTGTTGGTGCTTGCTTCCAGAAAAAACATCCTTGGTTAGGAGGGCTAATGCAGGAAGTAACACATCACCTGCAACTGTCTCATACAAAGTCAGAAGTATTTTGTGGACGTCAGGAAATACTCGAAACCATTGTGAGTCGAATAAAAAATAGTGAAGCTTGTGTGCAGGCCCCTCTTGTCATCTATGGAGCTTCTGGGTCAGGAAAAACTGCTCTTATGTGCAAAACGTTTGAACTGCTAAGACAGTCTGCAACCGCTGATGGGCATCATGTGTTGGTGTTAAGGCTTCTTGGAACTTCACCTCAAAGCTCTGAAATCCATGATGTTCTCAAAAGTATTTGCTATCAGGTAGGTTTGTTAAGACGCATGATCACTCTTAGATACAAGTAGCCATTGCTGTGTTCTTACGATTGTCATTTTCTACTTAGGTGTGCTTAGCATTGGATCTGCCCTTCCCCACTACACAGGTCACTAACATTTACAATGAAACGGTGAGATTTTTTCACCAGATTCTCACAAAGGTATCTAATAAAAGGTCAGAAAATTTGGTGCTTTTTCTTGACTCACTTGACCAGCTCTCCTCATCAGAAGGTGCCCATCATCTACACTGGCTACCAAAGGAATGTCCAGCCAATGTCCACATTGTCTTGTCCACATTACCTAATGAAGCAAGCATTCTGAACACGCTACGAGGGAAAATCACAGATGTAACATCTTACTTGGAGGTGCAGCCACTCTCTGCTGAACAAGGTGGACAGGTGATTGAAAAGCTTATGTCTTCAACTGGACGGAAGCTGACTCCTGCCCAACTTGACATTGTACTGGACAGCTTCAGAAAATGCGGGCAGCCATTGCTTCTTAAACTGGCATTTGATGAAGCCAAGAGGTGGTCATCTTACACACCACCCTCACAACTCCATATTGCCACAAGTACAAAAGAAGCTGTATATCAGTTGTATCAGAGAATAGAAAATGTCCATGGCAAATTACTGGTATCTCATGCCCTGGGTTACATTGCAGCATGCAGGTTGGTAAATACATTTTCTTTATTTTTCTACATTTTCATTATTTTTTATATGTAAAGTTTGAGTTACATTTGGGGAAATATTATTGTTCAAATGGTTCCAAAGCATTTTCATATTTATGCAAGTCAGAATAATACATTGCATAGATGCATTCTTGCAGGCACATTCATACTGCATATGCAAAAATGTGCAGTAAATATTTTGCAGTAAAGGAATCCACATTATTTCCTGTCCTGCTAAAATATAATAGTATTATAGCCAGGGTAGCAAGTAAAGTACTCCAAAGTACAAAGAAAAGAACTGAAATGTTTCTAATGGCATTCACAAAGTAGGTCATATAAATTGCAGAATATCAGGACTCCAGTAGACAAAGAACTTAGACATTTTCAACAGATATATTAATTGGACTATACCAAAATATAGCAGTAATCTATGCCTTAAAGCTAAGTGTAGGTAAGGTTTTGTTTTTTTATAAACCCCATACAATTCACATTCCCAATTTGCCTGTAGCATAATTTTGTGAAGTACCTACAGATTCCCCCAAATTTAATGACCATTAAACTCAGGAATTAAATCTTAAAAATGCATTCAAGTACCTTAAATATTAATAAAAATGTATCTTATTTGTGTATCACTCGGCTGTACAGCCTCAAATCATCTCTGAATTGGTGCTGACACTGTCCTTCTTTCTAGAGGGTGGTTACTTTTGTTCCTCATGGTCCCTGTGTCCATTGTAAAGTAGCCACCACCCCAAGCTCACTCCTGTGATGGAATACCATCTCATGTTTTGTTTACTAATTTGTATTGAGTTTGTAGTCCATCATTGGAGCGAGCTTTGAGTGGGACCATGGGGAACAAAAGCAGCCACCCTCCTGGAGGAAGGAAAGTGTCAGCACCAATTCAGAGATGATTTGAGGATCTACAGCTGAGTGATACACAAATAAGATAAATTCTTGTGAATAGTTAAGGTACTTGAATGTATTTTTATGATTTAATTCCTCCTTTTAGTGTCTCTTTAACCTTAATCATTATGGAAGATGTAATTCTCTCTCCTCTCTCTCTCTCTCTCTCTCTCTCTCTCTCTCTCTCTCTCTCTCTCTCTCTCTCCACATTCTACACTGTATATATAGATTATGGTTAGGGCTTCCTCATCACTAAAAGAGGAAGACTGGACATACCTGTCTTTAAATACAGAAGATCTATGGCACTGTGTCATAAAATGTTTTGAATGTACAAGGGTACAGTAAAAGCTGTGCAATGTTACAAGTGATATTATCTCAGATACTCAATTTGACTTGTGCTACCCTTTAAAACAGACAAATGCAATGAGCTGCATATATGGCTTTCACAAACATTTTGCACAAGAACTGAAGGGCAGTAGGAGTCAGTTACATCTTCTCACAGAAAACACAGTTTGCCTCCATGCCACCAGTAAGATCTGCATTATAATACTATTAGTTCACTTCCCAGTATCCATATGTCACCTGCCCCCAGCACATACAACTCTCTCCCCAGTATTAATATCAATAGTGAGGTCTGTACTTCAGCATACAAACCCCACTCCCCAGTATCCATGCCACCAGTGGGATCTGCTACCCAAAACACACAGCTTATTCCCCTTGTACACACACCACCTAGGAGACAAGCACTCCAGTGCATCCAGTTAATACCATAGCATCCCTTATAGCAATGAGATTTGCCTCCATACTACCTGTGAAATCAGTACCTTAGCACACACAGCTTATGACCAGTAGCACACACAGCTTACTACCGGTATCTATACTCACTCCCATTATCTAAACAGGAAGTGTAGAATAATCTGCACAGACACAAGGACACAGACAGCAATAAAATGCCAACAGGAATTCTGAAGGGGTATAAGTATGGTGGCAAAGCCTCTTAAAGACACATGGAATACATTTACCACTCATCTGCATAAAGCAAAGTGGCCCAGTTTACCCCAAATTCTGATTTGTGATAATTAATTTGATTATCCCCAATAATTTCCTATCTTTATCTCAACTTTAGGACTGGTCTGTCAGAAGCTGAACTGAAGGATATTTTATCTTTAGATGATGAGGTTCTCGCGGATATTTATCAATACTGGGCTCCTCCAAGAAGTGATGTCATACGGATTCCTGTATTGTCATGGACTCACCTCCGACATGACCTGGATGGATATTTGGTGGAAAGGCAGGCAGATGGGAGCACAGTGCTGGGCCTATACCACAGGTATGAAAACTCAATCTTGTTTTAAAGCAAACCCGTGTTTTGTCCATCAGCAGCTTATAGCTATCATTCCTTTTCTCTGATTGGCCACTGGAAGCAAAGTAGTCCAAGGTTTGAGGGAGCATGTGACTCACTTCCTCCCACATGACAATGCAGGTGCTTAGTGCATGGCCACTCAGGAACCCAGTGCTGTCACATCGAGATGGGGAAATAATCTTGGGTCCCGTGCAAGCAGAGATACAGAGGTAACACTCATCATTCCCAATGCCCAAACAGAGTGGTGGAGGAGCAAAGGAACATCCGTATAAGCTGCTGGTGGGGTGTCAGGGAACCAGGGGTACCACCTCACCCCGAGGCCGCCAGGTACGGTGTAGTGCACGGGGACTCCTTCGGCTTGGCAGGACTCCTGTTGACAGGGTTGCAGGTGCGCACACGCGCGGCAGACAGGCTGTGCAAAGTGTGCGCATGCTCGATGGACAGTGCGCCCTCGGCCATTAGTGTTGTCAGGTGTGGGTCTTGCTGGGGGAGGTTCCTGGCACACACCTTCTGTTTTTCCCTCCAGTCATTGGCTCCTGGACAGGGAAGCCTCCTGGTTGTCTCTGCAACCGGGGGCAGTCCTGGTTCCCACTGGGTATATATTCCAGTCAGAGCCCTGGCTTGTTGCTGAGCTATTCTGCCTATATGGTGCAATTACCTAGCCTCTTGAACCAGATCCTGCTGCAGCTTCCTGACCCCTCATCTGAACTCCTGGTTATTGACCCCTTGGCCTGTCCTCCCGCTCTTGATCCTAGCCGCCTGCCTCGACCCAGACTGAACCTACACCTTTTGGATTGCCCTTTTGTGCCTCGTTTTTGGATCTATTGCCCGTTTCCAGCCAGTGGGTTCCACTTCATGGCTCAAGCCGGCGATACCTCCTGACATTAAAACTAACTTGTTGTTTTGCCCTACATGGTCAAAGTACAGGTTTTTTTTAAAACACCTAATTTTTATTTGAATGCTACATTGTGGAGTAATGAATCACATGTATAGAAGTACAGTCCTGTGCTACATCATGATGTTATGTAGGATAAAATACACAACATTTATACTATGTGCCCCACTTAGTCAAAATGCTTTATGCTGCCCACCTCCTATACCTGGCTAGCCTTAAAGGAGAACTATGGGGTTAAGGCTTTTCCCTATAGTTCTCCTTAGGGTAACGGGAGGATACAAACTAGCGTCCTCCCGTCACCCTAGGCTCAGCTGTAGCTCGCGGTATACTGAGACGCCGCAGCTGAACTGGATCCCGACAATTATGCCGGGATCCGCCCAACTGCGTGAGTGACAGCTGGCTCTGCCTATCTAGAGGCAGAGCCAGCTGTAATCGCCCCCTCCCCCGTCCGTTCCACCAGTCAGCGCTGGCAGGTCGGAGCGGGGAGGGGGGAATCCAGCCCCCTTCCCTGTCACGGCAGAGAGCCGTGACAGGATCGAGAGGTGAGCGAACGCCGGTATGTGTTCGCTCACCTCCCGATCTACTGAGCCGACCTGTGATAGTCTCATTGTCGCAGGTCGGCTAGAACTATGAGGTGAGTGAAAAGCACTCACCTCATAGTTCTCCTTTAAAATTATATAAGCAAGACATGTGATTACATACTGTTCACACACAAACACAGAGGTTCTTAATATAGCACTAAATGTGTCCTTTTTGAGTGGGTAGAAATAACCAAATGATAACTGACAACATACTCCATTCTTTTGCTCTAATTCCATGAAGAGCCATCATTCTGACTAAATTGTGTGTATCTGTCCCTAGAGTACAGACCCTACCCAGTAAGAGAAAAACAGCACTGCAAAGAACAGCTATAGAAGGTGTGCAGAATGCTTTTCATAGGTAATCAGGATGGTTTACTAAAGGCAAATGGGCTGTTCACTTTGCAAGGGAATTTTCCCTTACCTTAGTGTTCACTTCGCAAAAAATACCCAATCACTTGCAAGGACAATTAAAAACCCCCCACTATTTCTTGGATTGGAAAACGCCCATGTAAAGTGAAAATTCCCTTGCAAAGTGAACAGTATATTTGCCTTTATTAAATAAGCCCCAATTAATCCAGAAACATGGCTCCTTTGGTAACATGGCTCTATCAGAAAAAAATAATTGATTAGCTGACATTATGATAGTTATGTGTAGAAAAGCCAAAAAGCTGGGTTTAATGAAAACAATTTCTGTTAAAAACCTGCCCTCTACTGTGTTAAATGTCATCTTATGTAAATGCCACATCAGGAACATGTATACGAAGAACAATATAATCTAAGTTATACCTTCACTGAATTTATTTTTGGCTGCAGGCAGTTCATTGAAGTAGCACAGGAAATCTACCTGAATGATTCAGAAAGGAAGAAGAGACATCATACCCTGGCGGAATATTTTTTGGGCACTTGGAGTATGGGGACACTGCGGTGGATAAATCTACCACTTCTTAATAAATCCCTAAGTGCTGACAGAAAGGTACACAAACTTTATCTGTAGCAAAGTGAAGCTGATTGCCATTATATAATGTAGCGAAAAGATTAGATTATGGGCTAGGGAGGGTGGGCTTGTTTGTTTGTACCTTAAAACTAAACCTCAGACAAAAAGCCAGCAGAGCTAGAGTCAGGGGGATGAGTCACAGCTCTGGCTCATTCATTTTTGTGTGTAAACTTCAGCTTGAGCTATAAAGCTCTGTTAACAATAAGGTTTTGTTTTTTTACAGCAGTGGGTAAGGAGAAAGTAAGTAAGGCAAAACAGTGAAAAGGAGCATAAAGCTCTGACTGCTGGCTAGATATGACAATACAGAATATTAATTTGCAATATTTCATGTTCACTTGACTGAATAAAAAGAAAAAAAATGTTTCAATGTTATTTTTATCCCTAGCCATTATAAATAATGAAAGAAAATATGTGCACAGGTTTTGTACATTCCTTTTAAAATCAGATTAAGCTTTTGATGTCAGTAATCTTCACAAAATAAATGTAAATTAATCTGAAGTGAAAAAAATTAATAGTTGACAAATTATTTAAAAGTACTCGAAAACTCTTGATTACATAAGTATCCACTGCATTTCCTGTAAAACCCCTAATAGCCTCTAGTGCAACCAACTGCCTTCAGAAATCACATAATTAGTTAGAGCCCTTTCACATGGGCTTTCTGATCAGGTCCATCAGTCAGTTTTTTAGGCAAGTCTGATTGGAAGACAAATGTTAGTGTATGGGCAGCTGGATCTAAACAGATGGGCGTCCAGTTACTCCCGACTCTGGCCAGGTACGGAAAAAACAAACGTATAAAAATTCTATTTCACCAGACCTGACCGTGCCAGATTGGGGGTAATTTGATGTCAATGGAAACAAGTCCATTTACATCTGATTCCCCATAGACTACCATGGGTCTGGTAATTTAGTTTTTTCCTCCATTGCAAGATGAAGGAAAAACTGGACATCCGGACATCACAGTGGTGACATCCATTCCGATCAGCAGGGGATCCGTGCATGGATCACCTGCTGATCGGACTGTGTGAAAGGGGCCTTAGATGGAGTTAACTTGAATTGTTACATAATCTCAGAATAGATACACTTGTTTTCTGGAAGGGCGCAAAGTTTGTTAGTTGGTATTTAAAAAACAGCTTCATGATGGTTATAAAACTATCAACATTTCCAAATAAAAAGGGATTCACTTAACATGTCTCAAGACTTCGATTTCCCATTTTATATTTTTCAAATGTTTTATGTGAAAGGGTTTTCAGCAGAAGTCATGAGTGAATATGCAAAAGACTAACAACTTCATTAGAACAAACAATATATTAAGTGAAAATGGTACAGTGGAGATCATTATTATTTTCAAACACATAATTCACTTTCTGTCCAGTAATCTAATAGAGGAAAACGATCTACTGAAATTTGGATATGCTTGTTTAACATGGCAGCTAACATAGGGCAGTAGGCTGCTCAACAAAGTTACACACATTACAAGCATTTCAACATGACAGCAGACAAGGTTATTTACCACACACAGTCAATGTTATCTGCATCTTTTTCACATACTGTAGGTGTTTTGTTTTATGCTCAATGTCCCTTGTTGGCTAAGTCCGGCAAGTCATACCTCTATGCCAGTTTTGTATGCCTTCATACAAAATAGAACAATAAAATGTGGTAAATTCCTTTTTTTCTCATTTTGATCCTAGGTAGCACCGCAGCCACTGTGGTTCTCAGAAGATATGCCCAATCTAAGAAAAATGAATGAGCTGCCTTACCATCTACTTAATGCAGGCAACATTGATGAACTGCAAAGAGAAATTTTAGGTATGAACTCCTGACATTTTAGATTTGTTTGGACAGTTACTATAATATTATTATCAGGGTCAGTGTTGTTAATGAGAACTGTCAATCACCATCCTTTTTTATATTTGTCAATATCTCACCAAATGTAAAACTCCTGTTCCTGGAAATTTTGAAAGCCAAAGACATAAACGGGAGGGAAGGGAATTAAGAGTACAGTTGCAAAGCTTGCGAGAAAAGGGAAATTTGATTTTTTTGTGCCAGTATAAAAAAATTATTGCTGGCTATAGATTGCTATGGAAAGATTAAGTTATGGAACATTGAATTAATATGTCTTGCTTTTAAATAAAGGGTTATTTTAAGACATTAGCACAGACAATTTACGCAGTGCTTTACATACTGCACATGCACATCAGCACATTACCTGCAGTTCATAGTAGATGATTGTTCCTGGACACAATCTGTCTGCGCCCAATGAACAATCATCTATTCTGAACCTGAATTGTTCCACGTGCGATTACATGTAGACAGCCACTATCAGATGAGGCCACTGTTACCCTGTATATTAGCTCGAACGGGCACAGTGGCTGCATCTGTATGGACGCACCTGGATTTCTGAAGCGAGAATTGGTAGGCTCTTGCCACAAGAATCCCTAGCTGCAGCCTAAAGCCCCATGTGAATGGGGCTTTAGGAGCCATTTAAAGCCAACAAAACAATCCTAATGTTATCTTACACATGGGCTCCAATGCATCTCTCTGAAGTGGCAATATTTCACTGAAACCTCACAATTTAAAGACATTAAATGGGATTATTTTCCAATACTAACAGTGGGAAGGAGCAAATCCTTGAAATAAGCGAAAATAAAGGAATTTCTGATTCTCCCATGTCCCACAGCCAGTGCATCATAATAAAAGAGATATAGAGTATCTCACACTATCATTTCATGTGACGACACAGCAGAAATTACACTTTGCTACAATGTAAAGTAGTGAGTGTACAGCTTGTATATCAGTGTACATTTGCTGTCCCCTCAAAATAACTCAACACACAGCCATTAATGTCTAAACCGTTGGCAACAAAAGTGAGTGTATTCCTCTATAGCTGATGGTACATTGTGCTATATATTATACAGAGCAATGTACCATCAGCTATAGAGGAATACAAATCCAAGCAATACATTATACACTGTATGTATAATGTATTGCTGGGATTTGTTGTATTCCTTTATAGCTGGTGGTATTCTGCATTGCGCTGTATAGAGGACTACAAATCCCAGCACAATACATTATACAGCGCAATGCGGAATACCACCAGCTATAGGAGTATAACAAATCCCAGCAATAATACATTATACAGCGCAATGCAGAATACCACTAGCTATAGGAGTACAACAAATCCCAGCAATAATACAATATACAGTGGTGCAATGCCGAATACCACTAGCTATAGAGGACTACAAAACCCAGCAATAGTACATTATACAGCGCATTGCAGAATACCACTAGCTATAGGAGTACAACAAATCCCAGCAATAATACATTGTACAGTGGTGCAATGCCGAATACCACTAGCTATAGAGGACTACAAAACCCAGCAATAGTACATTATACAGCGCAATGCAGAATACCGCCAGCTATAATGTACTATTGCTGGGTTTTGTAGTCCTCTATAGCCGGTGCCATTCTGCATTCATTGCAAGCCATTTTTAAAAATGTATTTTATCAGATTAACCGATTAATCGAACTTAATAATCGGCTAACTAATCGATTTTGAAAATAATCGTTAGCTGCAGCTCTACTGTATGGTCTTGGCCACCGTGCTGCAGCTCAGTTTCAGGGTCTTGTCAATCTTCTTATAGACTAAGCCATCTTTATGTAGAGCAATAATTCTTTTTTTCAGATTCACAAAGAATTATTTGCCATGAGGTGCCATGTTGAACTTCCAGTGACCAGAAAGAGAGTGAGAGCGATAACACCAAATTTAACACACCTGCTCCCCATTCACACCTGAGACCTTGTAACACTAACGAGTCACATGACACCAGGGAGGGAAAATGGCTAATTGGACTCAATTTGGAAATTTTCACTTTGGGGTGTACTCACTTTTGTTGCCAGCGGTTTAGACATTATTGGCTGTGTGTTAAGTTATTTTGAGGGGACAGCAAATGTACACTGATATACAAGCTGTACACTCACTACTTTACATTGTAGCAAAGTGTCATTTCTTCTGTGTCGTCACATGAAATGATATGATAAAATATTTACAAACATGTGAGGGGTGTACTCACTTCTGTGAGATACTGTATGTGCTGTAGAAACCTGGCAGATATAGAGACACAAGTTCAGATTGAGCTAGATGTTATAGTCATGTATTAATCCTAATTACAAACATCACTTACCATTCATTACTCAATCTATTCTATTGATTAGCAAACGTACTTATTTTTTTTGTTTGTAATGTTTAAAAAATATAAAATAATGTCTACAGGTAATATGAACTGGATATCTAGCAAAATTGTTGCATGTGGAATCAACAGTCTCATCCAAGACTTTGACATGTGCGTAAAACGTATTAACAATGGTGAGGTCAAACTTGTGCATGACACACTGCGACTTTTCCAACCCACTATCAACTTCATTGAGGCCCGGATAGGTGAGTTTTCTGCTTTGCGTCTTAATTTAAACCTAGATGCAATGAGATTAGTATGTAGCTACCTGCCAAAGAGATTATTTAAAGAATATAATGGAAACCTAAGAAAATATCTGGGTTTTACAGAAACCATACATGTAATTGTAGAGGATGCAAAAGCCTATGTCTTTAATAAAAAAGGGAGTATGGCAAGTTTCCAGTCACATGGTAATACAATCACACAAACTTTTTTTTTCAATAATGAATCCAGATCAAACAAATATACAGTACATTGCCCAGCTAAGTATTTCTTGAAAATTGTGCCCAAGCACTTACAGTTATCATGTTTCCAAACAGCTGGCTCTAATTCTCTCTGCGCGGCTTCCCTGAACTTCCTGTCCAGTACAAGATCACAAGGGACAGTGCAGTCCCCAGCAGCTGCTTATCTAATAACTTTGTGAGACACACACACAGCTTACTAGCACACACAAGGGTGGGTCCATAGGACCCTGTAAGTAAAATTAGCCATCCTAAAATAGGATATCTAGACCAGTGCTCAGGGGACCAGCTGATTTTGTGCCCCCTGGCAGCTCTCATTCATTCCTTCTTCGATCAGGTCAGGTTAGCAGCTTGGGCAGCAAGAGAGGTTAATATTTAGTCATCTTTTAGAGATAAAGCCTTGTTTGGGAAGTTTAGTATAGTGAGAGTGCAGTACAATTGAATCCAAAGCTTTCTTTTCAGTTATGCCTAAAATCAAGATAGATTTAAGTACTTGATGCAAGGCAAAATAATTTTTTTATTAAATAAATACCTGGATTAAATGGTGGCCAATTCATGTTTGCCTGGTGCCTGCTGCAAAGTGTATGTAAACATTCCAGAGGAGTATTCTATGAGAACAAGTATGAATATTGATTGCTGTTAACAAACAGGACTTCTAGATGATATGTGCTTTGTTTACCAATTTAGTTAATTTGTAAAACACTCTATTTATCCAAACATTTTTTGTTATTTCCCTACAGATCCTTGCATCATATATGTAGAGATGTTGGCAAGGCTGCATTTCTTTAAGCTGTCGTGCCCATCCTTAATAGGTAACCTCTGCCAGCAATGCTTTACCTGGTTTGAGCAGTATCCAAATCCAACCTTTATTCCTGTAAGTGGATTTTTCCAGCCACCTGGTGGCCCTCTGCAGACCACTCTTACAGGATTCAAGAAAGGTATCTAATGACCCAATGCCAAAATCTTATGACTTAATTTTTAGTTAATTGTTACCATAGTCTAGAACCATAGTGAACCACATTTATGCCTTCACTGTTTCTCTCCACTATGGGGCCTAAGGCTGCACTTCTTTTATGTCCCTCTACCTTCTCCACAAATTAAAATATAAATGGGCTTGCATTGGAAAGGGAAATTGTTTTCTACCGTTGTCATATCATGTGCCAATCACTGACTAGGCATGTAACATACAGCGCTCGTAACATGTTCAAATAGATTGTTCTACAACATAATAAACAATTAATCTCATAGGTAGTCTAAAGTTAGTGCTTTAACCACTAAGTTTATCTACTACTACTACTACTACTACTTATATAGCACCGTCAGTTTACGCACGTCACATATTTTACATTCATATTAGTCCCTACCCTCAAGGAGCTTACAGTCTATAGTCCCTATCTCAAATCTATAGACACACATACTTGGTCTGATTTTGACGGGAGCCAATTAACCTAATAGCATGTCTTCGAACTGTGGGAGAAAAACAAAGTACCCAAAGGAAACCCACACACAGGGAAAACATGCAAACGCCATGCAAATAGTGTCCTGGCTGGGATTTGAACCAGGGACCCAAGTGTTGCAGAAGTGCTAACCAATAAGCCACCGTGCTGCCCTAGTTAGATTCACATACTTTATCAATGTTTCACAACATCAAAACACATAGAAAACACATGCAAACCAGAAGCATGCATTTTTATTTGTACACCTTTTGCTTTGAAGGGAAATCAAACAAAACCATCCAGGAGCACAATATACAGGCTTCGGTACATTGCATGAATGCAGCTATATTATTGAATCAAAGGATAACTAATCCCAAGAACAAAAATATCATATATTGCAGCTTACCAGTCCCTAGATACGATGGCTGCATTCATTTTCTTTTCACAGTGAAAGAGTAAGTGTAGCCACCCAGGGACAGGAAGTGTGTTATGCGCAGGACTACCAGGTAAAAACAAAGCAAACAAGGTCAGATTTAATGCCTTTTGGTATAATTTTGCTAGTCAAATGAAGAGCTGGCTCATTTAAAATGCCATGCTTCTTCCGGAGACCATCATGGATGCGTAATGTGAGCCAAGCTTCACCCTGCTTAAGCTTCCAAGCATCCTTGCCAATATTAGATTGTCTGTAGATTTGGTCTAGATTCTTACACATACAACTGAGCAGATGTAATATTTTTTTAAAAAATTATTTTATTATCGGAATTCGTACACAGTACACATATTACAAGTATGAGTACATAGAATCACGTCACAAAGCTGTGAGCATAGTGCATATGGAAGACACCAGAAACGTGTGTGTCCTCATAAAGTATGAAACCAATATCTGATACTAACAACATACAGTATAGATAACAACAGGAGTATGAAATATACTATGTCACTTAACTGTATTGCTTATATAGGTTAAACGCAATTCTGGAGGAATAACTCCACAGTAGAGCTATTTGTTGTAATATTTTTAATGTGTCAATGTTCCCTTCTAGGTATCACCGTGATGGAAGTCTGCCCATACAAGGATCTTGTTGTTGTGGCATCTGATGATGGCACCATGATAGTGTGGGACATAAAGGATATTGTAGTCATTCACACATTAAATGGTCATTCTGGTAGGTTTAAATGACAGCCCAAAAAAACTAAATAAACAGATACTGAAAATATCAAATTATTTGCTTTGAAAGAAGAGATTTATGCAAAGTTTGCCCGGTACCGGTCCGTGGATCAAATACTGTAGCTGGGTGGTATTCAGCATTGCTGTATAATGATTATACAGCAATGCTGAATACCACCAGCCGAGGGCCCGCGGGCGTCACCCCCCCTGCCCCCCACTAAATGAAGCCCCCGGCCGCAGGTGCAATGGTTCCCTCCCTTCGCCGCCTCTCTGCCACATGCACCGCTACAGATGCGGCTCTCTAATCGTGCAGCCCCTGAGTCCTTGTTGTCAATGACGATAGTGTTGTCTTTAACAATTTCACCCTACAAACGTACAATTCTCGGGGTTTGGGAGGGGTAACATTTACCTCTAGAAGCCTGCCCCATGTCCTCCTTACCACCAGCACCCCAACCGTCCTTGTGTTCCTTTTCTGTCTGCAATTGCCTCACAGGGATGGAATTAGATGTGAAAAGAACCTGCCGGCTCTGAGACACCAGAAACCCCATTTCCTCCTGCTTCTGTGCTTCTGCTGCCCGGTCTATTATACCATGAGGTGTGTTCTCCAGCAGAGAGATTGTGTCACTGATCAACTCCTGGTCACAGCTAAATTTGTAGTCATGTGACCACTTCATTTTCATTCTTCCTTTCACTGTGTTCTTGCAATAGGTGGGGAGCAGTGGTGTGCATTGGCCTCATGTTACTGAGGTGTGCAGCTGCAGAAAGATGTCCCAATAGGCTAGCTAATCGAGCAGCTTAGGGCATGTCACTCAATGTTGTGGGCATTACTGAACAGGTAGCAAAGAACATGACTTTGCCACTAGCAACTGGTTGCAGCAATGTCATTAGGAAACCAGTGTAGTCCTGAGGGAGTCCCGTAGTCCATGTAGTCCTGAGATTGCATGGGTGACAGCCTTGTTGGGACAGGAAATTCTGAAGAAAAGCATTGCTGGATTTAAAGGGTCACTGCATGAACATGATGTACCTTTGATGAACAGAAGATCCAATACTGGAGAGAGGACACCCTCTGGTAACGAAGAGATACTGCTTTAAATGTAATATATAAAAGTATTAGATATGTACTTTGTAATGTTGTGCATTGTCATATTACATAGACCATCCTGAATTTCACATTTATGGATATTAAAGCAAACCCATGAAGACAAAAATTTGACATCTGCTAGGTCAGTTGTTCCAAGTCAGTTAACCCAATTCCAAATAAAGGCAGTATCTAAGTCAGTAACTCTCTAAGTGGTAAAGCAGGAATTAGGATGTTGGTCCATGAGGCTGAACTCAAGTGACATTGTGTCAGCTCCCATATTTCTGTTATCATAGTCGGATTCACTTTAAAAATAAGACTAATATGAATTCACTGTGTCTCCTTTCAGCTGGGATACTATGTGTAAAGGTTTTTGGTCAAGGAACGCGGGTGGTCTCTGGCTCTCTTGACAATACCTTGGTCCTGTGGAATCTGGTAACCGGCAAACAGTATCTGACAATTCAAGAAGACCATACAATTTATGAAAATGCCTATCTGGATGTGGATGAAAAGAATGGGATCATTTATTCAGCAGCAGGATCTCAGGTGCGTCAACCTATCTTTGTCTAGCAATGAACTCTACAAAATAAACACACAAAACGTGCACATTTGGCTTATTCAGAAAAGCAGAGCAAAAATTGCAAGGATGTAGAAAGAGAGTAACGCACATAGCCAACTACACTGTTTATTGGTTTAGAGCACCAGCAACAATTAAAAAGATTTCTGACTAGTTGATATGACGGCTGGTTTTAAGATGCTGTGTTGTTCAGCCGGACTATAAGGCAAAGCAATGGGTTTCAGGTGCATATGCAAATATTTGAACTATAGCTCCATTATGTAGAATAACCCATATCTAGATATGTCAGATGTTTAGCCTATCAATTTTTGCATCAATTGGTGTATAGTAATGTCATAACATAGTAGATCTGATTTAGAAAGAAGACTCTGTCAACTGAGTCTAAATGGTTTAGTAATTTGGACAGTACATTGCTCTAGATTAAAATTGCCAACCAGAACTTTGCATTGGACTAAAGTGTACTGTTAATGACTCTTGAAGTGTATCCATAGCCCAAAGTTTTTTTTTTTTTCAATTTCAGATAAAACATGGAACAGTTAGAACTTCTGTAATGTTTTTATTACTGTCTGTGTCCTCACTAGGTAGATTAACCCTCTCTCTATAGATAAAAATACAACATCAATGAAGATAAATAAAAATACAATAACTATGAAGATTTTGCATGAACAAACAACTACTCAGCCTAAAGGAATGCTGCACTTTAGAATAGAAAAATTTAGACATAGGCACATATGGATTGCTGTTCAAGCATTAAAGGGTTATTAAACCCTCACGTGCTTTTGCATATATCTACAGCTAGCGAGCAGTAGATATATGCAAAAACATTTTTAAAAAAACAAACTTTTAAAAAGGGTTAATACTTACATGTGTCTTCGCCGCATGCTCTGAAGAGTCTCGGGCGGCCGCAAAGATTCTTGGGGTGGGCACATGCGCACTTCAGATGGGAGACGAGGAGAGACACAAGGTAAGTCTATGGAGCAGTGTGCACCCACACAGACACCGTGGGAGAGAAGATATGAGAGAAGAGGAGGACAGAGGAGTCAGAGCTGGATCGGAGACCCGCACCAGCACTGGAGGGACAGCTGAAAAGGACAGGAAAGAAGAAGATTGGATTAGGAGACATCATTTAAGGTAAATTCCTACAGCAGGATTGGGAAGGGGGCGGGGGGAAATGTTTTGACTATAATGTCACTTTAAATAGTTACCTGGGCATCCCCAAAATTGGACTGGTTAACTGTGATGCCTTTTGTGTGGCTTTTGGAGCCCCCTCACTACCTCTTATGTATAAAGCAACTGTTTGCGAAAGCGACATGGCCTGACACTACTCATAGAAATTCAGGAGTAGTAAAGCATGGCGTTGTTTTAATTTAAAGGTTTACAGTGATAGGTTTCAGGTTTTGGATTTGCCCCACCTTGATTTCACTGCAAATACTGTTCCCCTGTCCCCACAAATTTTTGTCTGAATTCATCAAAATTAATATTTTTAAAACCATAATATACTTTGCTTTTAATGGCTTGGATCAGTGACTAAGGTCAGTAATGGGGCTTTTGGAAAGGCCAGTCCCCTCACTATATAAGGGGGGACTCAGAGCAGCCAGGGTGTCAGTGTATTGATGTTCCTATAAGCAGGGGATAGGGACAGAGGACAAACTGCATAAGGAGAGATTAGAGTCAGTAAGCAAATTGTGCTTCACTTTTCTGAATGAAAAGTTGTCCCCCACCTCCATTATTCACAATTCTTCATTTAACTCAAAAGCCCATATTACAACTACTCACTGTGTCAGCAAGAAGTTGGATTACTAGCTCTTGGGCCATTACCCATTTTGCCTTTTTTTTTTTTTTTATTCTGCTCTTATTATTATGGTATTTATTTGTCTTGAACGTTAGTTTGTGGTTAATATGAGGGCAGCGATCACTGTCAATTCCAAACTGCCTTTTTTTTTCTTCAATTTTTTATGCTGCAACTAAAGACACAAGGTACAAGCGGGTGTTTTCCTACAAGAAATAAAAATGTTAAACAAAAGAGGATACAGCTGAGCTGTGTAAAAATTGTCCAGTGGCAGAACAGTTTTTTTTTTTAAAAGACTGGGTTGAAATGTAGAGATACTAAGCACAGGTAGTTGTTTTCATCCAAGAATTAAAAGCGTCAGCCCAGAGCTAAGTAAAAATGGCCAGCAACAGGGCACTTTTAATGAGGAAGATTAGGCCAAACTGTAAAGAAAACAAGGCACAAGCAGGTGGTTTCCTACAAGAAATAAGAGTGTCAAATCTGTTCTATAACACCATATAGCTTAACATATAGCTTTGAGGAATGTTCATTGTTTGCTTGCTTGAGTTCTTACTTATTCTGCTTTATAAGTTCAGTGCTGAGCTTAGCGTTCAGTGTAGCAACTCTACTTTCCTAAACAGTCAAGAAATTTGCTATTGGAGCAAATAATTATTCCAGAAGACATGCAAACTGTACACTAGGTGCCGTGTAATGATGCGTTGCCTAACTTCCTGATTGGTTGAGAAGCTGGCCAATTAGGAAGCCGGGCAACGCGTCATTACATGACACCTAGCTTCCTGATTGGCTGGAAAGCCGGCTCCATGCTCCCTCGTCACCAGGTGACGAGGGAGCATGAAGCTGGCTTTCTGGCCAATCAAAAAGCTGGGGGGCATCGGGCATGTAATGACATGCTCTCCGGCTTGCTGATTGTCCAGGTCCATGCTCTCTCGTCACAAGTGAAGAGGGAGCATGGAGACGGCTTCTTGGCCAATCAGGAAGCGGGTGCGGCGTGTAATGATTCACTGCCCGGCTTCCTGTTACTGGAAGCTCAAGTATCGGGCTAGGCATCGGAGCATTTGGGCGAGTATGAGTACTCGCCCAAATACTCGGCGTTGGCACCGATACTAGTATCGGTATCAGTGCATCCCTAGTTTACAGGGTTTAATATTAGCACAGCCCAGCTTCAGTTACACTTGGTTGAGCATCATTCTGATGAGGTAGTAGTGCACCAATCTTGACTAAAGTCTGACCTGTTTTTTATGGGGTGCACATGTTGTAGGTTATGAGGCATTTGTATGGTTGATACATTTGGTGTGTATGTGGATGTATGCTTATGTGTTGCAGGTAACACACTTCAGTCTTATCCTAACTAGGTTTTTATTACGATAAACTTCCTCCCTGACCAGTTGTGCCTGTGATTAACTACCATTAGATAGATGATGTACACATTCAGGATTATTGAACATCAGTAAATTTAATATGAAGTCAGACGTTAAAGGTGTCTTGGGAAATCAGAGAATTATCATGAATCATCATGGAGAGTCATGAAAGGAGAGGCCTAGAGACACATAGATGCATATATGGATTGGACATATATGCTGGGTGTATAGAGTCTATCCTTGCTAGGTCATTGTCATCAAATTCGTTGTCACCGTCATAAAGATAGAAGTCTAGATATACTGTACATAGGAAGGGACTCACAAGGCTTTTATTTTTTATTACTTTTATTATTATGAATATTTTCTGTTGGACTGTTCCTGTTCATCTGTTTCTGGGATCTAATATACGCTACCCTCTGTGGAAATGAACTGAGTTTGCCTGGATATTGCTTGACGATTGCATTCTACACATTTTTTTTACCCCTCCAACATAAACATAAATATATTTATACTTTATAACTACAGCTATCAGTACATTTTAGATCACAGCAACTCATGTCTTTCTTCATTCTGCAGGTCTGTGGATGGAATATAGAATCTGGAGATCCTGTTTTGTGTTTCTCTCCTGGCGTTCCTGGATTTCCATTACAAGCTGCTGTATTTTCACCACAGCAAACTGTAATGACAGTGACTGAAGGGGGAACAGTTCACATATGGGAATCAACCACAGGACAGTTAAAAGGGTCAAGGCAGATACCGGGCGCTGATGCTGAGACTACACATCCAGTATGTAGTTGTGTTATTCCCAAGTATGGGAAAATGGTGGTCGGGTTCAAAAATGGCTTCTTGGCACTTGTAAGTAAAATGGTTGCCACATTTGTGAAATTTAAATGCACACTTAATAATTCTTTATTTCTTCATCACTTGTCCTTGATTTTACAACTCGCTTATTTACACTCTTTTTAGTTTGTTTAGGAATCATGTACAAACTTAATACAACTGTTTTCCATGACCTGTATGTGTCCTAGGAATAGACAGAACATACTAAGAGGACATCATCTATTAGGCCTCATTCACACACAATGCAAGCAAAATTGTATATTGCGTATATACGCGTCTATGCAAGCATATATGCGTATATGCGTGCACTATATGCAATCCCAGAATGCATCACTCGTAATGGAATTTTTAATGTGCTGTACGCGCATACACGCGTACATGTGCGTAAACGCGCGTATATCTGCGTAAACACGCGTATATGCGCGTAAATACGCAGAAATACGCTGCCCGGACGCATCTCTGTTCCATTCTGTTTTTGCGCATATATACGCTACGCAAATATACGGCTCTATACGCGGCTGTGTGTATGGAGCCATTTATTTGCTTAGGTTGCATATGGTACAATACGCACGTGCGCGCGTATCCGCGCGCATACGTGCGGCAGTGTGAATGAGGCCTTAAAGAGAAGTCATGTGAGCCCTATGAGAAAATTAGTTAAAGCAAAGGGCATTAGTGACAGGAAGGCCTATGTGATTGATTATTAATTGTAATATTTAAGACATTGTATGAAGCATGGCATTTTTACATTATTTAATAATTAAGTTCTTACACTAAGGTGTGGTAAAGGCAATTTGCTTCCATTAATTGCTGGCTTATATATCTGATAGGGAATCAAATCGAATATTTATGTTTTAAAAACTAAATAGGTAAAAGCAAAAAGTCAAACTATGTAAAGCATGATCATAATAGAATACAGTGTATTTGTATATACACTAGATTTCCACTGGAGGAGGTGTATCAGCCGAAAAAATGCCCTGTATCCCGAACTTTGTAGTGGTCTCTGATGAGGAGTCATTATTTGCTGCAGGTAAGTACATATAATAAATATAATTTCAATGGTATAGTAAGTGGTATTAATATAGTGAGTGAGGATGCAATACAAAATACTGATCCTTTAGAGCAGGGGTCTCAAACCTCCGGCCCTCCAGCTGTGGGGACACTACAAATCCCATGATGCATCTCTCTTCGGGAGTCATGCCTGTGGCTGTGAGAATCTTGCAATGCCTCATGGGATTTGTAGTTCCACCACAGCCGGAGGGCCGGAGGTTTGAGACCCCTGCTTTAGAGTGTCCAGTTTGACACACCACTCTTTAATCTTTAACCTACATTAGACAATCTATCTCAACCCAAATCCAAGAAAACCTTCATCGTATATCCAGCAAAAGCTTATCCTATATCTGTCACTTCATCCTACAAAAGACAACACCTCATCTTATACGTGAAATAACTTCATCCTACTGTCATCCTACTGCCAGCAAAACCTCATCCTACATCCAACTAAACTTCACCCTAAATTTGACAAAACATTCTACAGCTGATAAAACCTCATTGTACATTTGACAAAATGTCAAACTGTGTCTGACAAATCTTCATCCTTTATTTAAGAAAACCTCATGCAACATGTAACAAAACTTTATCTAACATCTGTGAGAATTAGCTCCAAACGGTAGCACATTAAGGACACTGCCACTCACTTATTTCTTTGTAAGGGCTCCTTTGCCCACTTTTATTGACTAAAAAAAAAAGTCCACACCGGTTTTCCCTCACAGGGGTTTTCAAACAAAGTAAAGCTTTTTCCTTCAGCAACATAACATTTGTAAAGTCTCCCCGACTTCAGGCGCTTCTCTAACAAAACATCTGGCCACACAGGCTGCTTCTCCTCAACTGGCCACACAGGCTCATCTTCACCACACAGGTGGATTGCTCCACAGTCCGCAAGACACACAGTCTGGTTCTAGGGTGGGTCTCCTTTCTTAGGAGACTTAGGAGTACTTGTAGAGGCCCTTACAAGCCAGCTAGCTTCAGCTGGGCTTGTTACCTCCAAGCCTCCAGCCCTCTCAGCACTTCTCCCTAGAGGAAGAACTTCAGTATCACATCTGAATCTAGGGCATACAACTCAGCCATTCTGGCTAGACCCAGACATTTTCCTCTGCCTGCTGCCACACATCCAACAAGACTTATTCCACATCACACAATTATGTAAGGAGTGTATTATGAATACACTTATAATGAGATATAATAATTATTCTGTATTAAAGTTCTCCAGTAAGTTCTCAATAGTCATGAATGAATCATGACACAATAATTGTAAATAAGAAAAAGAGACTAAGATACATTACCATAATTGTGTAACACAGTTACTGAAAAACACAAATGCAATCACAAAGTCTAACGCTCACGTTGCTAAGATACATAGTAAGGCAATACTTTAACGTAAAAGGAAATATCAAATATAAGCACAGAAAAAATAAAATCCGTTTCCATGATTTTTTAAATAAACATTAACAATATACACTGCAGCAATGAGACAGTGCTAGCATAGTAACCAATCATGCATCTCTTATAAGTCTAAGATCTGTCAGTTTCTCCATTAAATTCAGGGCTTACATTGTACACCTTTCTGCCACCGCTGCTTTAATTACATCATGAAAAGTAAACTAACTAGTATTACCTAGAACAAAACAACTCGCTGATGCTTTCCTATTAGTACATTAATTAGTAATGAATTTTGGTACGTTACATAGTGTTGATGGCTTCTTCCTATAGCTATTGAGTTATATACAACATTTCAAAGCAATCAACATAGAATACACGTACGTGCCCTCTAATTGGCTGGAGAAAGCAAGCTGAAAAAACCCATTATGAAATAAATATAAAAGAATATTACCCTTTAATGTCAAACTTATTAGTTGTAGGCATTAGCTTTAATACTTTGGGGTTATCATATATCGCCATCGCCATCTTGTGGATAAAATATATAATATGATTGTAATGACTGTGGTAGAATAAAGGCTGGAGGACGAGGTGACTGTGTCCTTTCCTGCAATGGTCTGTACATACTGAAGTGCTATGTAGGGCCAAACAGGTACTTTTGCAGGGGCGTGTATCTTTTCTGTGCTCCTGTCAGTTGCTTAGACCAAAATCCGGTTGCCGTGGCCCACTGTCCTTTCCTTTCATTTGGCTGGCATAGAATGCAGGTTATGGAGTCTCCACTACAGCCGGGCCCCAGTACATCCATCTAAAATGGAAGCCCTGGTCCCATGGGTCCCTGGTGCTGAAAAAAAAATGGCTTCTTTAGCAGCAAGGAATGCAGTCTGCAGTTCCAACCACAATTAGTGTTTTTTCCAGGTTACCTTATAGGTCTCCGGATCAGTCCAAGATGTAAGATAAACAATCTTCAGGATTTGTTGAAAGTGCCTGCTGCACACCATACAGCATTGTGACCAGTGTAGATAACATAGGTGCTCATAGTGACTGCCACAGATGGCGCCGTGCAGAACCTCAGAGATGTGTAGATAGGTTACCACCTCCAAAATGCAAAGAAAATATCATCATATATGTCAAAATAGACAACGTTTCAGGGCCGCGCAGGGTCATTTCCTTAAGGCAACAGACCCTGCATGGCCTTGAAATGTTGGCTATTTTGAAAAAAAATATCGTCTTTGCATTTTGAAGTGCTGGTTACCTATCTTCAAATCTCCACAATTCCACAAGTAGAGGGCGACAATCCCTGGGTAGTTTATGCAACTGTCTCTGGAATTTTCCTCTGTGTTCCACTTCACATCACTCACAGGAGTTTCACCTCTGTGGCAGGTCCCTGGACTTTGTAACTCTGTTTACAGCCCATCCTCTGTCCTCCATGTGCTGTATCAGAAGGTGAAGTGCTTTGCTTACATTCTCTTTGAACCTAGAGATCATTAGGTCAATAATACAGCAACTTTTAAATTTAGGGTACACAAATCTTGGCCAATTAGTCCATGACAGATCATTGGCAAACGAAAGTACCCTTAAGGAAGCAAGGGGTTTCCTTTTAAAAGCATGACTTCAGCTTCAGTGTCTATTAAAACCAGCACATGCATAGGAGAAGATGACTCCCCCACCATACAGTGCATGTGTATATGGGCATCAGTCTTCTGCTGTCACTGGAAACCTGCATATCAGTTATTCCTGTGCAGTCTTGGAAATCAGTTTGTTACCAACAAGAGGGCTCTGTTCTGTTTCATCTTCAAGAACATTAAAGAGGCCCTAAAATGTCTTCACTCCAGGAGACCCATAGCGCTCACTATTCTAAAACCTAAAATGAAATGACCTATGTCACAGATGGTGGGCCAGGAGGGGCACCGAGGGGGGTACAGGGACATAGGAAGGGCCGGACAATGTGCAGGCTATTGCCGTCCTTTGTTCGTCCTTGGAGATCTTCCAGCACACTGGCAGAATGTCGCCAGAACCCCCAGAATGCCTCCCAGTCCACAGGCGTGGCGGTATGGCCGTGAAACACAACAAGCACACACAAATGAACTAATCTAAGCAGCCACCACCCACAACTTATTGTCTTGTGGAGAACCTTTTCCCGGACACTCCTAGTCCATACACTCTGTACTCAGACATCCCAAGTCTCCCGGACGGTCCGAGAGTCTCCCGCTATTAGATAGCGGCTCCCGGACGCCTGCAAGAGAGACATTTTATCCCGGAAAGGATTGAAACCTTTCCGGGTCTGATGCGCTCACTGGCTCTGCTGAGTATCAATAAAGTTTTCAGCTGTAAGGGGAAAAAAAAGTTTGTGCCGCTGGCTGGTCAGTGGGAGGGGTTTAGGCACGGCAGGGCGGCCTGTGATTGACTGGAGACAAAAGTCCCTGAGCTAGCTCTGCAGACACCTTGTGATGAGTGCCGAGGGGGAGCCGATAGAAGACGCCTGTGGAGGGTGAGTGGCACACTTCCTAGTCTTGCCATTTACTGTGTTAATAATCACAAATAAAATAAAAACATAATGTAATTAATAATAACATTAAATAATATAATTAATAATAATAAAATGGTATAATATCTACTATGTTTGTGTGTATATACAGATATATATATACATACATACACATACATACACAAACTCACACATATATACTATTATAATTATTATATTATTTTTTATGTTATTATTAATTAAATAATATTTGTAATATTTGTATTTTATTTGTATTTTATTTGTGATTATTAATATTATATGCTGCTGCTGTCAAACAGCAGAGGTGGACCTGAGGTGCTCCTCTGCTGATTGACAGCAGCAGTGGGTGGGTTCAAGAGCAAGCCTGCTATTGGTTATTGCAATTTGAAATGACCAATAGCAGCCTAGCTATTCATTCCCCTGCTAGTTAGTTTTTTTTTTTATTGTGAAGGTGGCCGACGGCCGCTGTCAAAATAAAAAAAAAAACAGAGAAGGTACCTCCCTGAAATGAGAAGGGCACCTCCCTGAAATAAGGTTTTGCAGGTTGGGATGTCTGTGTACTCCACCAGACTGGCACACAGGCTTCGCAGACCACACACACTGCTCTCACAATTATCTCAAGTTAGTACCTCCACTCACAGTCTCCTGCACCACCGCTGGTCACCACTGGAGGGAGACGCACCCAACTCAAGCTGGCAGGACACATACATACACACAAGCAGATGCAAATCTTGCATAAAATCTAGTGTACTCTAATGCTTGGGTGGCAGCCTAAGTGGTTTCCTCACACCCACTAATATTCCCCAAGCAATTTTCTCAGCTGGAAACTTGGTGTACCCACTTCTTTCACTGCCCACACACACACACACACACCTCAGACACACAGATCCCTGCCTGGCAATGACTTACAAATGAGCTTCTAGGCACCGATGATACAATCAATCGACTATACACATACAACAGACACACAACAGTCCCTTCAGATTCGTGCATTCTTTAGAGCAATCAAAAACCAGCTTATTCATTTTATATTTAATAACCCTAGACGGGCAGTGCATAGAAATGGGTAGAATTTAAAAAAGTTACAA